TAGGCAAATGGACCAGACTGCTAACCACAGTTGTCAATCTTGTAAAAGACACTATTTCCTGAAGTTAATCAAAGTGAAATTGAGAGACTGTTGGAATCTGGCACTTAGATCTGCTGATGACTAGTACTTCTAAGGAAACTGATCTAATGAAGCCCTCAAACTTTTTTTTAATTACAAGATCTTTACTGATTCCCCATTATGTGTCAGGCAGTGTGCCAGGTGCTGTGGTTGTAACCAAGATAAGACAGACTTCCTGCCTGCCTTAATCTTATTTTTTTTTTAAAGTAAGGCAGACAGTAAACATGAAAAACATACTAGAGTTTTATACAGTAGTATTACGAAGAAAAAGGAGCCCTGGTGGTTAAAGCGCTCGGCTGCTGCTAACTGAAAGGTCAATGGTTCGAACCCACCAGTCGCTCCACAGGGGAAAGATGTGGCAGTCACTTCCATAAGATTTACAGCCTTGGAAACCCTACGGGGCAGTTCTACTCTATCCCATAGGGTCACTACAATGGGTTTATTATGAAGGAAAAAAAAGGCTGCTAAAGACAATATGGATAGGATTCCAAATTTGGCTGTAGAAAAATGCTAACTTTCTGAAAAGGATACTTACTGAAAGTGATAAACATTGAAAGAAAGTGCTGAGAGAAGGAACTGCTCCCACCTCTCACTAGAGTGGGCCCCCTGTTGCCATGTTTGTATTACATGACTCTGTCCCACTGGTCACAGTTAGTTGGACCAGGGGTAGACACCTGACCTAAGCTAAGCCAATCAGATTCACTCCTAGGAATATGAACTGGGAATACTACTATTTGACTGGTGTTGTAGAAGAGAACTGACTCAGCTTTAGGGCTAAGGCAGTTGTTAGCCAAGCGCAGAGGTAAAGAGAAGGTCAGCCTGCAGAGGGTGATGAGGGGAGCACACACAAAGAGAGGCAGACGTGAGAAACTGTGTGGCCTCAGAGGAAGAGGCTGCTTTGGGTCTTAATGGGTTTTCAGGTATGGATTCCACTCTCTCATGAGGTCTAGCTGGAAGTCCTGTCCTTTAGATATTTGAGTCCTAATTCTTCCAATAAATTATTTTCTTGGTTTAAGTTAGCCTGAGTAGGTTTCTATGCCTTACAACAGATCACTGTTTATAAGAATGGAAAGGATGATGATGATAGTAAACACTGATAACATCTACTGATGGGTAATAGGCGCTATTCTAAGAACCTTCCATATGTTATCTAATTTAATTCTTACAAGCTCTTTGATACAGGTACAATCCTTATCTCCATTTTACAGATGAGGAAAATGAGGCACGGAAAAGTAAGAGAGTGAATAAGTGGCAGAACTTGAATATGAATCTAGACAGTCTGCCTCCACGCTCTTTACTACCACACTATACTCTCAAAAACATTGGGGGATGGACTTGAGATTATTTAAAACGTGTGAAGTCCCTTCCTACACGCTTACTGGTCCTGAGCAAAAGCCCCAAACCAAGAGACATCTGTTGCTTTCTATACACACCAACTGAGGAAGAGGCAGCAATATTATTGACTCAGCTTTGAACATTACCCACTTTGTTAAAACATTCACATTCAGAGTTGGGGCCAAAATGGCGGAGTAGTCAGACGCTTCTGGTGGACCCTCTTACAACAAAGGCCCGAGAAAACAAGTGAATCGATTATATATGACAATCTAGGACCCCTGAACATCAAAGGCAAAATTGAGGAACCGGACTGAGTGGTAGAGGGAGGGAGAGACGGTTCGGAAGCAGCGAGGAGTTGCCAGAGCTGACCCGAGGATAGCCTGAGCCCTTCAGGCCTGATCAGCTCACAGGTGAGCAGTTAGGCAGGCAAGCAGCGGTGCTCAGGAGGCGTATTCTGCGCTGGGAGAGACCCAGCGGCAGAGAGTCTACTCGGCCACACAGAACCAGTGAGAAGAAGCCCTCGATCAGTGAAAGATAAGTACCTGCATCCAGTCTACCGCACAGATCAAAAACACTCCCCTTAGGGAAAAACCTCTCTCCCATTTATCTCCCCGCTCCCTGCTCTGCACTGGGTCCCGGACCAGCTTCAGCAATTGCTAAGTCCCCTGGGCCGGAAGTAGGATCTGTCACACACCCTGAGCCATTCTCCTGGCCTTGGAGAGTGAACAAATTAACAGGAAAAAAGAAACTGCTGGCTCCCCTAAGCCAGGAACTCAGGGCAGGCACTGCTCCTTTCCCAAGGCACAGGCATAAGGGATCCACAGACTTTGAGTGCCTTTCCCCCTGCATAGACTTTGGGCCCATTTCAACAGCATAGGCCCTCATTACTGCAGTACAACAGGGTACATACCTGAAGTCTAACTTCAACTGTTTCAGCTGTGAAGTGGCAGGTTCCTAACATTTGACACTGTTCTGCCCATTAAGCAGGGTCTTCACGTACCTACATCAGAGGCCTGAGGACTGGTGGCTCCACCCACGTCACCTAGCCACCTGTGATAGGGGTCCAAGAATAAGAGATGCCTCCCAGTCCTTACAGCCAACAGCATTGGGTGCTCCTAGTCTGGCTGCAAAACCCATCTACCTAAGCGCTCTAGGGAACAGGGACACACCTTCCTCCTGGACACTTGGGGGAGGCCGTCGGCCCCCTGCCTTGCTCAGAGTGTGTCCCCCTGCTGCAGCCAGATGCCTGTACCTACACCAATCACCCATGCCTAAGACTGTAAGTGAGCGCCTACACCACACACTTGGTGGCTATCTACCTGGGCACCTGAGCTGAATCCATACAGGAGGAGCAGGCAGACTCCTGAGCTCACATACCTAGTAACAGATCTAACCACCTGGTGACAGGACGTTAGAGCTTCAAAGGTGCCAATAATCAAACCAGCTCACACAAGCAGCCTATTTGGGCATATCAAAACAAAACAAGAAGCTAGGACACAGTACGCAAACATAAAATAAATAAATATAATAACTTATTGATGGCTCAGAGACAACAATCAATATCAAATCACATAAAGAGACAGTCCATGATGGCTTCAGCAAGCTCCCAAAATGAAGAATCTAGAAATTTTCCAGAAGATGAAAATTTCTTGGAATTACTGGAAGCAGAATACAAAAGATTAATATACAGAACTCAAGAGATTAGGAAGGAAATTAAGCAAAACAGTCACATTCTGTGACTGTGAGCTGGAGAGCTTCTGGCAACCATTTTTAATGTCTGGGAAGCAGAGGCTCTGATATCACCTAGTATTTAAGAGCTGAGCTTAGAATCTGGATTGCTACAGGCCTGAGTGTAAATCCTAGCTCTGCCTCATACCATAACTTTAGAAAAGCTACCTAACTTTCCTGAGCCTCAGTTTCCCTATCTATAATATACAAATAATAACAATAGTACCTCTTATAGGGTTGTGAAGATTTAATGAGATGATGGGCTGAAGCGTTTGCCGGTATGAACTAAAGCATGGACATCGCTGAGGCTCACGTAAGTGCATATTAAGTGACAAGAATTGATATTATTACTGTTTCTTTCTGCGGCTGACATCTGCTGTTTCTGCCATTACCCCTTCTTCTGGAAAAAGCTCCCTAGGTGTTCTTGGGACTTTTCTTCCATTGGATACCTACTCCTGGCTAAGGAATAACAACATGACCTCAGCTGCCCAACCACACACTCTCTCCTTCGAATCTGAATCTTTAGCTGAATCATCCAGAACTGAAGAGGAAAACACAAACTGAGAAACAAACAACAAAAACACTGGGAGTTCGGGTGTTCCCACCGACTTGGACAAAACTGGTCATTAGCTCCTGCTGCCTGAATAACCAGAAGTTTGTTGGTTCCTGTCTTTCCCAAGACCTGGTTCTTTGGCTTTTCCGGAGATTCTATGGCTCCCCCATTAAAAACAAAATCCACTGCCATCAATTCCAACTCATAGTGACCCTACAGGACAGAGTAGAACTGTCCCATAGGGTTTCCAAGCAGCAACTGGTAGATTCGAACTGCCGACCTTTGGGTTAGCAGTCAAGCTCTTAACCACTACATCACCAGGGCTCCATGGCTCTCCCATAGTCTCCAATAAACTTTCTAAGGCAGATTTGGTTTCTATGCTTGCAACCAAAGACCTTATCTGATATACTTTTCAAGAAAAGACTCTAAGGCTCAACAAATTCTTTAATCCTCTTTCCCTACTCCCCTGGCAAGAAGAGTATATTAGTCATCTACTGATGGGAAACAAATTACCAGAAAACAAAGTGGCTTTAAATAATAAACATTTATTATCTCACAGTTTGAATGTCTGAAATTTGGGAGCTGCTTAGCTTGAGTGGTTCTGGCTCAGGGTCCCTCATGCAGGTCGCAGTCAAGATGTCAGCTGGGCCTGCAGGTTTAACTGAGGCTGGAAGATCTGCTTCGGAGATGGCTCAACCAAATAGCTGGTGGCAAGAGGCCTCATTTCCCCATCACATAGACCTCATCATAGGGCTGCTTGAGGGTCTCCATGACCGGGAAGCTGGCTTCTCCAGAAGTAAGGGATCCAAGAGAACAAGATGGAAGTGGCAATGTATTTTATGACCTAGCCTCAGAGGTCAAACTCTATTGATAATTTCCTCAAGAGCCTACGGGTTACATAAGTCAGCCCTATTCGATGTGGAAAGGGACTACACAAGGGTGTGAATACCAGGAGGTGGGGATCATTGGGGGTTCTCAGAAGCTGGCTGCCATACAGGGGAAGCCTTGAAGCCTTGGTTATGGACTGAACTGTGTCTCCCCAAAATATGTGTTGTAAAGCCTAACCTCTATACCTGCGGTAGAATCCCATTTGGGAATGGGTTATCTTCATTATGGTAATAGGACAGGATTAGTGTAGGCTGTTCTTGAGTCAATCTCTTTTGAGATAAGAGTTAAACAAGCAAGCAAAGACAAGGGAAGAGAGACGCCAAGCCACATGAAGACTGCCCAGGAGCAGAAGCTCAGAAGAGACAAGGACCTTCCTCCAGAGCCAGCAGAAAGAAAGCCTACCCCTAGAGCCAGCATCCTGAATTCAGACTTCTAGCCTCCTGTGAAAAAATAAATGTCTGTTTGTTGAAGCTACCCGGTTGTGGTACTTCTGTTATAGCAGCACTAGATAAATAAGACAGCTTGTCTTTCTACCCACTCACTATCCTCTTTTTACTTTAGCTATTCCCAGTTACCTAAGACCCCAAGAAGAACACCTCATTTCATAAGCCCTCAGACAATGACTTACAAGTCATGGGTGGAAGAAGGTAGATATGAAGAAAAAGATGCAAACAGGCAGGGTGAAGGCCTCCAGTCCAAGCACCAGGTCTGGAGAACTGGAAAAGAGGAAGAAATGACTTTTAGGGAAGGAGGAAGCAGGCTGCCCCAAGGTTCAAGCACAGAGTATATAAAACCTTGGCAGATGAGTAACTTCTCCCCGTACAAGCCCCAAAGGAGGTCTGATGTCCAGTTAGTCCTGCTTGTGTCAATGATCTTTTACCGCTGTAAATCCATACCAGCCTGAGGAATCCATGAGTCTGGGCTGCTGCCAAGCACCCTGGACGACTGTTGTGATGTTGACTGGTGCGTGAACCAACCTCTGCCACTTAATGTGGAGCCAGAAACCAGACACAAGGACTTTCCTTCCAGAGTCACGGAGATGAGATGGAACTGAGTTTCCCTGGTCAAGTGATGGGGACCGGTCTGCGTGCAGCCACAATGCACTCAGGAATGTTGTTTCTACTCTTAGCTCCACAAGCTTCTGGATGGGCCCTAGTCTTCCTTCTCCTCTCCTCCAAGGGCAGTCCAAGCATCGAGGTCACAAGGGCCACTTCCGCTGCCCGTACACCTTCTCCCTAGCTGGAAAGCACCTTCTGTATTCGTTCCCGCACTTCCTTTGTTCCCAAGGACACCATCATCTCAGCTACAGGGGGTCCTTGCTGAGAACAAAAAGAGAAAGCACTGCCTTAAAATGCCCAGGGAACTAATATTCAGCCTTAGTCTGCAGAAGTTATGCCCTAGCCGAACCCTACGCCTGCTGCCTGCATTCCAAGGAGCAAGGTTTGTACTTTATTGGTCTTTAATATTCATAGATGAAGATGGGTCCCAGGAGCCTGTTTTTCCTATATTAAGTAAACTTTTTATCTGCCTGCTACCCCCAATAAACGACAAACTCCTTGAAGGCAGGGACCATGTCTGCTTCACTCATTGCTGTACCCACTGTACCTAGCATGGTGCCTGCACATAGTAGGTACTCAATACATACCATCTGTTGAATGACTAAATGAGGGGAGGGGTCACGTTTTGTTCATCTTTGTTTCCCCCCTACCCTGAGCTTAAGGCCTGCTGGTGAATGTTAGTTGAGTGGATAAACGAGGGGCTCCGGGAACAGCCCAGCCCCTATGCCCGCCTCACCGGCTGTCCACTGAGGGCCACTCGGAGGAGTCTCATCACGTTACTGTGTTTGGTGTCTTCCAGACCTTCTGACAGCTTCTTCAGTTCTCTGTTCAGCACATCCTGAGTTAAGCTCACACCAGGTCTTTCTAAAAGCCTAGAAGAGAGCCAGTCTGTAAGGGGCTTGTGTGAGTTCGGAAGATTATGGTATAGCAATGACATAAGCAGCATAACCAATGCTCAAGCCTGCTGTAGGGGATGGGGGAAAGGAGAAGATATCTACCATCCCCCACACCATCCAAGAAAAGAACCTTCCTGTTAGGGAAGAAAAACCATCAAGGGACCACGTGAACAGATAATCCAAGTAAATGGACATACTATGAGGAACTAAGATGGTACCATAATGAGAGGACTTACTAATTGCTACCTCTGTTATGTAATCTTTACACCTCAGTTTTCTCATCTTTAAAGAAGGGATAATAACAGTAGTTGCACCTCTCGAGGCTAAGGTGACGAGTTAAAACTTGTGAAGCGCTTAGTGCAGCACCTGAAAACGTGGTATTAGATTTTATATTTCAATGTAACATTAAGGAAAAATGTATTAGCTAATATTTACTACATCCAAAAGCTCAGGGACATTGCAGGGGAATCTCATAAGAAACTTAGGAATGAGTTAGACACTGGATGGAACAATAAGGCCTCTGGGAAATTATCTGAAGCACAACTTGAAGATGGTAAGACTTGGGGGACAAGAGAGAAATCAGGAGATCCCAGTTCCCGTAATGGCCCTGCCACCAACTTGCTGGGTCATCTTGGGAAAGCTACAATCATTCTTCATCTACAGATTGAAGCATTTCAGGATCTAAAATCCAACGGCCAACAATCATTCCAACTTTCATGGCAGGCCAGCTGAGATCCTCTCCCAAAATCATGTTTGAGTTTCAAGAGAAATTCCCCAATCTGTTAGAGCTGGACTTGCAAAATATCTGTCCCAGTCCTAATTCTGAGCTAGAGCAAGAGACAACAGTGGGGTGGAGGTAAGTATATTTCCACAGCAACTTCCCACTCTCCGTAAGTTATTATCAGAGGTTGCAAATTAGAGACACTGGAAAGGGACAGCAGAGATTTTCACTGGTGTAATTGGTCCATGATGCCAATTTTGACACCTCTGCTCATGATAGGGTCCAACAACTCCATTCCAAAGACTGGGTCAATGTGGGGTGTTGCTGGCACACGGAATGGGGTTCCTAAGTGATCTGGAAAAACAGCCTTTCAGTGCATATTTCCTCACTGCCAGTACTTGAGCACTTGAGCTTCAACTTAAGACAAAAGTAACTGTCCTTACTACATCATTAATTGGGCCCCATGATTACTGTTATTTACTAAGTTAAAGAGATAAAATACTAAAAATATAAACAGTGATGTGAGAAAAAATAGTGTCTTTGTGGAAGATCAGGCTGTCAGGAGCTGGTGAAAGAGCGGCCGGTTCCAGGCAGCCAACAATGGCAGCTCAGACATGTTCGAGCTGGTCAGGGCTTGGCATTGGCACAGAAAGGACTTCTAGAGATCTGGCGGCTTCTGAACATGTGGGTGTCAGCTTTCCTGTCTTGAGTGGGAGACCCAGGTGTCTCTGAAATCAAATCCCATGGCAGGGATGGGGAATTAAGGCACTGGGAGCTGGTGAATTAGAACTAATAGCCCCTATTGTGGAATGTCCTAAATTAAGAGATTATTACAACTACTAATAACTCTTGGGAATTTATCCCACAGATATACTTGCAAACATGCTTAATGGTTATTTACTACAGTATTGTCTATAATAGCAAAATCTGGAAACAACCCAAATATCTATTAATAGAGGATGAGTTAAAAAAATTATGGTAAAGTGGTACAATGGAATAGGTATAGCTGTGGAAGAGAATAAGGACTGTAAGTACTAGACAGATCTAAAGATATAAAGTGAAAGAAAAAAAAACAAGATACAGAAGAGTGTTATTGTATTGCACTTTTTATGTAAAAAGGGGGAAAAACAAGAAGGATTATTTAGATGTAATTAAGAATAGCAGCAACCCACAGAGGGTTCTAGAACTGGGAAGATGGGGGACAAGGAATAAAAAGAGGATTTTTCACTGTATACTTTACTTCTTCTTTTTTACAATTGCTGTTTGAAACCAGCTCACGTTATCAATTCCAAAATTAAAGATTTTTAAAATTTTAATGGATTATGCACATATATAAATACATACACATATACATGTGTATGTATGTACGTATACTTGTATATATATCCTTGAATATGCAGAAATTTTACAAAGGAAGCTAACTTTGGTTGTCTTTTTGTTGGGGGACAGGGGCTGGATTATGAAGGAAGATTTGTTTTTTTGCTATAATCCCTCTTGTACCATTTGGATTTTTTTGCCACATGCATGTATTCTTATCCCTTCAAAATATATAATAATACAGTGATGGTTTCTAAGTGTCAGGCACTGCCCAAGCACTATACACATAGGCAGAAGCAGTAGAGAATAGTGGTTAGACCTAGCTTGGTTAAAACCAGCTTGTCAGAGTTTGAAACCCTGTTCCTTCAATTTGCTAGCTGTATTATTTTGGACATGTTACTTAGTCTCTTTGCGATGAGAGAGAAACTAGGCCTTGGTAACATGTTTTTGGCCCTGCATTAAGCTATGCCTCAATCTATCCCTTCATCTAGCCTTTGCAATTATATATACCATCCACTCCACTCTTTGCTGAAGCCAACTTCGGCTGTGTTTTTTGTCATTTGTAACCTAACCAAATGAGTTCCAACTGCTTCTGTTACAGTAAGAAATACTATCTCCATCTTATGGATGAGGAAATGGAAGCTCTAAGTGAAGCCACCTGGCCGAGGTGAAACCACCCAGTGAGTAAGTGGCAGAGCTCGGATGGAACCCAGGTTTATCCAACTCCAGAACCATGAAACTACTGTCCAGGGAGAGCCTGGGCTCCCCTTGGTAAACCCCTCCCCCAAAGTCAGCCGGTGAGAAATCATTTCACTGAGAACATCACCAGCCAGGGAGCTATGCTGGTGGTCGACAGCTAAGCCCTGGAGTAAGAGGGCACGGGAGGCAAAAAAGGAGTGGGTACACAGCCTGGGGCCCAGCCTGCAGCACTCACCCAAGCACCCGTTTGGCAATCTCATCCACCTTCTCCGAGATGGCACCCAGTTGTGCTCGGCTCACCGCAGGGCGAGTCCACAGGTAGGAGTACGCCGGGGAGACCAAATCCTGTAGGCGGCAGATGTGACCCTAGGGGAGGAGGCAGTCACCAAAGGCACTGGGGACAGGGCTGTGAACACACTGAAGGGGAGTAGTGGGAGTGTCCACTCACTCTCTTGGCCTCCCAGACCCCCCCAACCCCACACCTGTCTCAGCAGGATGATCCTCTCCATGTATGCCGGGTCGAGGACAGCCCTGTCTTGCAGCTGGCTCCCAAACACCTCCTCCACGAGAGCCCGCAGCTTCCCCACCAACTGGTGCCTCTGGGCCTCACTGCTCATCAGCCGCCGGAGGTGCAGCCTGCGGGCAAGGTCAAGGGACCACCCTGAGCTGACACTCCCAGCCCATCCAAGACCTCTCCCCAGGGGAGTGGGTGACGTCTGAAGAATGACACAGCACGTGAGCCCTCCCTGCCAAAGGCTAAAAGCAGAATTTTCTTTACACTTAAGAGAAGGAAACGGATCTAAGCAAGATCACAAATGGGTAGCCTGAGAGTCCCAAGCAACCTGCAGACGTGTTTTGTTTTCAGTAATTTAAAACAGTAGCTGACATTTTAAACAAGGAGAATGACATATAAAAATATTTTTAAAAAGGGATTTCTCTTTGCCTTGAGGTTAGAAGAACCAGCTACCATTACTGAAGATTTTGATCAAAGATTCTATAGAAGAATCCTGATCAAAACGGGGAAAGCGTAACAGAATTTCAAATTCTCATGGAATCCAGACTTCCTGGATCCGTTGAGGCTGGATGAACCCCTGAAACTATTACTTTGAGATAATCTTTAAATCTTAAACTAAAAATATGCCCTGAATCAAAAAATAATGAAAATCACTCGTAAGTACTGTGCCTCTTTTAAAAATCACCTATGTGGGACCAAATGCTCAACAACTAACTTTAAAACAAAAATGATGAGAATGTAAAGAGGCAGGGAAGCTAGATTAATGGAAATGAAACAACCAAAACGGAAATAATGAGAACGTTCACACATTGTGAAGAACGTAACCAATGTCACCGAACAACTTATGCAGAAATTGCTGAATGGGAACTTAAACTGATGTGTAAATGTTCAACAAAAATACATTATTATTTTAAAAAATATATCCCCTGATGTCTTCTTTAAACCAAATAATACTTTAACTTAATTAGTAAAGAGTGTCTACTTTGAGCATGGTACTCTTTTAAGATCTATTTATATGGGATCAAATTGCCAAGAGTAACTTGAAAGGTTAGCTAGAAACCTTAGCAGGCAGTGAGTTTATGTTAATGGGGAAAAACAACTCAGAAAAGGAGGGTGAGAATGGTTGCACAACTGGAAGGAAGTAATCAACGTCACCGAATGGTACATGTAGAAACTGCTGAATTGGTGGGTGTGCTGCTGTGTGTATTTTCAACTACTGCTACTATTGCTATGACAACTACTATAACTATCTTTAGTATCATTACTGAGATAATCACAGCAGCAGCCTGATTATAGGAATGTCTACAGGGAATCAGGTTTGGCAGTACTAAACCTGTGGGCATCAATCACCATGCTCCATCCCCTCCCTGGTTTGCACTAAGCGTTCCCCCGTCCTATCTCCACTTCCCGAGACGCTGCTTTCTTTACAATAAGAAAGGCAGAAGTACGAGATGCCAGGATGTCCCATTCGAGAGACGCCCACCATTCACTAGCTCTGTGAGCTTGGGTGAGTTATTTGACTTCTATGTCTTGGTTTTCTCATATGTAAAATAGTGCAAAATAACAAGACCAACTTTATAGGTCTGAAGGGAGAAGTAAAGAAGGCAATACCCTTAAAACACCTGAAGTCAATGTGAACTCTCTGGGTGCGTGCAAGTAAAGCAGCAGGAGAGCCTGTCCCAAAAGCAGCACTCAGGAGAAAAGCATCAGTGACCTCCTGGCCCCATAGGTACAACCTTGGCTGGTGGCTTCACTGCAAATGCTTTTTAACTGAGATATTTCAACAACTGTCTAAATTATAACTCTACTTAGAGGCTGAAATATCACGTATGTGAAATATCAAACAGATGTCACAAAACAGTGCTCATTTGCCTTGTTGGCAGGGTGAGTGCGGGTGATTCTAAAATGAAGATGCCCCTCTCCAGGCTTTGGCTATTAGCAGTATCCATTCAAGAGGTGGCCAGGAACATAATACCAAAAAAAAAAAAAAAAAAAGAAACAACAAACCAAAGCCGTTGCCGTCAAATCGATTCCAACTCATAGTCACCCTACAGGACAGAATAGAACTGCCCCATAGGGTTTCCATGCAGCGGCTGATGGATTTGAACTGCTGACCCTTTTTTCTGGTTAGCAGCTGAGCTCTTAACCATTGCACCACCAGGCCTCCAGGAACATAACAGTAATTAAAAAAAAAAAAAAGTGCTCAGTAAAGGGCAGGTATTGTTTTTATCGTTAGGAACATAATAGTAATGATAAAAACAATACTTGCCCTTTTCTGAGCATTTTCTATGTGCCAGGACTTTCTATGGGTACTTCTGTACAACATTTAATACAACTATCACAAGAGCTGAGTACTGTTACTAGCCTCATGTTAGAGAAGAGAAAATGGAGGCTTGAAGAGGTTAGGTGACTTACTCAAGGTCACAGAGCTATTAGGCAGCAGAGCCCAAGGTCAAAATTGGATGTGTGTGGCTCCAGAGTCCCTACTCTTCACCATCACACTATGCCGTGTGTGCTGTCCCATCATCAGCAAGAAAGCGTTTTCCACGTGGGGGGGTCTCCACATTCCCTACTCACCTGTTGAATTCTGGAAGCTTCTCCAGGTCCAAGAGGGCTGAGTGGCAGGTGATCCGGGTCAGGTCAAACTGCATTATCAGCTCTGGCAAGGTCCTGCCCATCTGGTTCTCTGCAAGCGAGGCAGGCCCAGCTGCTTGCCTACCTCCCTTCCCTCTCTGCCCCCTCTAGATACCATGGAAGTCAAACCAGGGGGTTTCCAATGCAAGGGTGGCAGGTGAGCAAGCTCTGGCCTCCCCAATTCACCTAAACCAGAGGGATTCAACTTCTAGCCACTTTATATCTCAAGGGACTGAATAAGCTTTCTTTTATCAGAAAGGATTTTGCTACTAAGGAAAAACAAGTTTGAAGACAATCAAGCTAAACCAACCCTCATTACCCTCAAAGACATTATCTGTAGAACAGCTCACCCCACTGCCTGGTTGTACCCCAGAGATTCTCATTCTCTTGGTTTTGGATGGGGTCTCAGCGTCAGCGTTTTTTACAAGCTCTTTGGGTGATCCCAAAGTGGAGCCAGAGTTGAGAACCACTGTGCTAGGAGCCACTTCTCACGAGGAGCAACTTTTGTCCTGTGTTATCAGTAGCATAGTGGTCAAGCACAGGCCCAAAGTGAGCTGTCCCTTACTAGCTGTGTGACTTTGGAAAGTTACTCGATCTCTCTGAGCCTCACAATCCTCTTACAAACAGTGGGGACAAGAAATAGCTGCCTCTCCAGGATGTTCTGAGGATTAAATAAGAGCAGAATAAATGGTAAGCAGACTACTACTCCCACATTTTCAGAAATCCCCTCCGCAAAGAAGTCATCCTATTCGGTATCTCTTCAAGGTTTGGGCTCTAAGTCTTGGGTCAAGGGCAAGGGCTCAGCTTGGAATAAACTAGAGTCCTTCCCTACTAGTAATACTGTTGCCGTACGTACTTATAACTGCAGTAATAATTGTCATAATCATAGCATCTGTCATTTTTTTTTGTGCTTATTGTGTGGCAGGCACTGTGCTGGGTGTTTTATACTCATGAGCTCAGTGAATCCTAACTTAACTATGAGGCAGATACTTAACCCCATTTTATAGATGAGGCAAGTGAGGCTCAGAGACCATAGGGCAAGGATGGTGTCTATCAATGTTGGAGCACCAGCCCTTAACAGTCTGTGGCTCAATAAACATTTGCTGAAAGAAAGGATGAACTTGCCCCAAACCATTCAGCTGGTAGGTGGCAAAGCTGGGACTGAAGTCCAGGTCTGCCTGAACCAAAGCCCATGCTCTTCACTGCTATGCTCTCTTGCGACTGTGCCCTCTCAGGTGGGTAGATACCTGCAAACCCAGAGCCACAATTGGTGATGATGTCGAGCAAGGCATCTGGCAGGAAGCCGGCAGTGGAAAAATGCTCCACGAAAATGTCCCCCTGCCGCTTGGACAGCTTGCTGCCATCCCTGTTGAGGAGCAGGGGCAGGTGGGCAAAGTGAGGTGGCTGCCAGCCCAGGGCCTGGTAGAGGAGCAGGTGCTTGGAGGTGGAGACGAGCCACTCAGAGCCCCGCAGCACGTGGCTGATGCCCATGTGGTGGTCGTCCACCACACAGGCCAGGTGGTATGTGGGGAAGCCGTCACTCTTCAGGATGACTGGATCTCCCTCCACACTGGCCACTTCGTGCTGATTCCAGCCATACACCAGGTCCTGGAAGGCTGGTGCCTCTTCCTCCAGATGGAAGCGGATAGCAGGCTTGGGAGCTTCAGCCAACTTCTGGGTCACCTGCTTCTGGGTCAGGTTCCGGCATCTATTGTCATACCTGTTGAAAAGCAGAGCAGCATTGTGGCTAGGAGTAGAGATGATGGGCATGAGTCCTGGCTTTGTCTCTGAAAACTATATGACCTTGGGCAAGTCATTTACTTTTCTGAGCTGCTTCTTCACTCATAAATGGGGATACGGATAAGACTGCTGTGAGGGAACGCTAAGTGATATAACATAGCTGGCACACGAGAATGTTTGCCTACATTCCATCCATTCCCCTTTCTTCCTGGCTAACGAGGACATGTCAAAATGCATAGTTCCAGGGTTGAACTGTGATTGGTGCTGCCAATTGTGCAATGTTATTCCCCTAAACTAGTGGCCAGTCCAGTGGGCAGGCATTATGGATAAAACTGTGTCCCCGCAAAATATGTGCTGTAAATCCTAACCCCTATACCTTGGAGCCCTCATGGCCCAGTGGTTAAGAGCTCAGCTGCTAACCAAAAGGCCAGCAGTTCAAACCCGTCAGCTACTCCTTAGAAATCCTATGGGGCAGTTCTACCCTGCCCTATATGGTAGCTAGGAGACCGAATCAACTCAACAGCAACAGGTTTTTTTTCTGTTTATACCTGTGGTTATAATCCCATTTGGGAATGGAGTTTCTGTTAACGAGGCAGGATTAGTGTAAAGGTGTGTCTTGAATCAATCTCTTTTGAGATATAAAAAGAGAAAATCAGGCATAGAGAGGCAAGCAGAGATGGGGGAAGACAGATGCCACACCACATGAAGATCACCAAGGAGCGAAGGAACAGAAGCTGAAGAGACGAGGACCCTCCTCCAGAGCCAACAGAGAGAAAGCCTTTCCCTAGAACCGCCACCCTGAATTTGGACTTCTAGCCTCCTAAACTGTGAGAAAATAAATGTCTGTTAAAGCCACCCACTTGTGGTATTTCTGTTACAGAAGCACTAGATAACTAGATAGCAGGTAACCCCATTCTAGTCAACGTGACTCAAAGAAAAGTTGGCTTGGGGGCGGGTCTAGGAAAGATTTTCTCTTTTTCTCTGAAAACAAGAGAAAGAGAGAGAGTGAGAGTAAGGACACATTTTCCCCCACCTTCTTTCTTCTTGTGAGGATGGAATGCTTGGAGTTGCTACGGCCACTTGCAACCAAGAGGGGGAAGCTAACGGAGTCAGAGAGAGGCCACAATTGAGCCCTAATGTCTCTAAGCTGGTGGTTTTATCCTGGACTGCTGTACCTTCATACTTTCATAGTGTGAGAATATTAATGTCTGTGTTTTTTATGGCCTGGTTACCCGAAGTGTGGTCTGTGAACCCCAGCATCAGCCTCACCTAGGCACTTGTCATAAATGCAGAATCTCAGGCCCCACCCCAGACCCAATGAGCCAGAATCTGCATTAACTGGATCCCCAGGTGGTTCGTCTGCACATTAAAGGATGAGACGCTCTGGTTTGTCGCTTTAACAGGGTATCCTGTTACTTGCACCTAAAAGCATCCTGTTGTATAGATATAAAGCCTGTAAGCTCAGTCTCTGACACAGAGCTAAGTGTTCAATCAATAAACGGCTGCATGGGTTCCATGTGAGATAATAAATGTGGTTTAAGTCACTCAGTTTTCAGGTAATTTTTTTATGCATCAACAGCTAGCTAACACACCCAACTTTGGAGAGACATCCATGACAGGCTGGGCTCTTACCGGGGTGTCTGGTGGTTCCTCAAGGCCTCCTTCTTCAGGAGCTCCAGCCGCTGTGGGGAGCAGAAACAGGGATAAGCAGCTCCAGTCTTCAGCAGTACTTCCGTGGCCTGGGCATACAGCTCAAGTCGCTGAGATTGCTGGTAGGGCCCAGCAGGGCCTCCCTGGCGGGGGCTCTCATCAGGAGGAATGCCTGAAACAGAGGCCGAGAGATTAATCATCAGGTAATAATAGTTAAGACGCACAAAGCACTCACAGCCCAGCATCGCTCTGCATGTTTTACACATATATAAAATCTTTTAATCTTTACAACAATCCCTGAGGTTGATGTACTATTACATTTCCATTTTACAGACGAAAAGAGAGGTTAAGCAACTTGCTTAAAGTCACGAGGCTTGGTGGAGTAAGGATTCAAACTGAGGCGGTTTGGCTCCACTGTCCATGCTCTCAACCACACATCCTCTCCATCTAAACTTTTCCTGGTGAGGGAGAAACCAGCCATGGCCTGGGAACAGGTGACTCGGGAGAAAGAGAACAGCCCGCCAGACCCTGGCTGGACTCCTGACTCTGCCACTTACTAGCTGTGACAAGAGATCCTGAAGTGCTGAAGGCATGTAAGGGCCAGGCCCTGCCAGGCTGCTTTCATGTTTTGTGATTTGGGGTAAGCCTCCAAACCACCCTACTAGGTAGTACTGTTATTATCCCTGTTCTGTAACAGGAAATTGAGGCACAGAGGTGCTTCGTTGCATCACTTGGTCAAGGTTAAGCGGTATCGCCAGATTCAAACTCTGACTAGCTGGCCCAGAGTCCACGTTCTTAACTACTGGTTCCACTGCCGCTTTGTGTTACTTAGCCTTTCTAAGCCTCACTCTCCTTCTCCGGAAAGTGGAGCTCACAGCCTACCGTGTAGAGTGCTTCTGAAGACTCAATGCATTAGCATTTACAAAGTGCTTGGCCCACTGGCTAACACCTATCACCGTTCAATAAATACTGTTAGATTAAAAATGACTTATTATACAGATAGACCCCGACTTAACAATGCAGTTCCATTCCGACAACTCTATCCTAAGTCAATTCTGACTTAAGTCAAATATCTTTTTTTTTTAGTTTTCGTTATTATTGCCTTTTATTATCAGTATCTTTATAAATCCAATCTCTATTTGTCTTTGGGGGTTGGAAACATTACATATAAACTTACAGATAAATTTTAATACATATACACATAAAAAAGTACACAAATCTTTAAAAAAAAAAAAAAAAAGATGGTCCTAAGAGCGGTCCATATTGACTCTGTCATAAGTTGAGAACTACCTGTATACCAAACCCAACCTGCAATTTCCTCAGGCCACACAGGATGGAATTAACTGTAAATGTTTCCGATAGAGGGAATAGGGAACCCAGAAGAACTGGAAGATGGAGTTTCTGCCCTGAAATAGCTCTCAAATGAATTAGGAAAATAATGATGTGCTTAACTCTGTTGTATCTGATGCTAACCCAAAATCTAAGGCAGATGAGCCTTGCACAAATGACCTGATCTTTCAAAGCCTCAGTTCTTATTCGTAAAAGAAGATCATGTGTTAAGCGCTCTTATTTGCTCCCTACCCCACTGCGCCTCGGTCTCTTCATTTATCAGAAAAGAGGGTTGGGTAAGGTAAGTATGGAGATCCCTTCCTGATCTAACCTGAAACAAGTCTCTTCAATGTGTTCAACATTTCTTGGAGCGTTACAGGGATTAGAAGTGACTTCCCTAGAAGAATCGAAAACATATGTTCACACAAAAATTTGTACAGAAATGTCCACAGCATTAGTCACAGCAGCCGACAGGTGCAAACAACCAAATGCACATCAACTGAGGAAGGATCAACGAGATGCGGTCAATAAAATGGGACAGTGTTCAGCAATAAAAGAAAACGAAGCCTCATGCGTGCTACAACACAGACGAACCTTAAAACATTATGCTAAGTCAGAGAACCAGACACAAAAGCCCACATATTACGTGACTCTATTGAAGATAAAACGTCCAGAATACGAAAATGCATAGATATAGAAAGTAGATTCATGGTTGCCAGGGGGATGGGGGTGGGGGGTGGGGGTGAGAGGCGTGGGAGGAGTAGCGGGGTGGGTAGGAAATGAGGTTTCTTTTTGGGGTGATGGAAATGTTCTGGAATTTGATAGTGGTGATGGTTCCATAAACACAGTAAATGTACTAAAAACCACTGAATTGTATGCCTTAAAGTGGTGAATTTTATGTTAGGGGAATTATAGCTCTAAAAAAAAGAAAAAGAAAAACAAAAGAGCGACTCCCCAAGCAAGGAGCAGCAGAGGTCGGCCACCTTCGGGAGCTTGGATATCTGCCCTATGCCTCGCCAAGGTGCTGGGGAGGAGCAGCTCTGCTGAGGGGCGGCAGGCCTCATTCACACAGTCCTGCTGGACAGGAAGTTCCACTAGGGAAGGACCTGCCAGTCTTGTCATCGCTGTACCCCCCCCATGCCTAGCACAGTACCTGCCATGTAGGAGGCGCTCCATGAAATCCTGGGTCTGCAAAGCACTAGGGATTCAGCTCCTGGCAGCCCCTCTGTCCTCACATCTCCTGTCACTCTGGCTTTGCTCATTGTGCTTGGGACCCACTGGCCTCCTTGCTGCTCCCCAAATACGCTCAGCACTTTCCTTCCCTAGGCCCTTTGCATCTGCTCTTCCCTCTGCTTTAAACCTTGGTCCCTTACTCAATGCAAATCTCTGCTTCAGGGTCACCTCCTCGGAGAAGGATCCCACACACAGTTCCCTAACCCAGTCACCCTTTTCTCCATAGCACTTACTACTACTTAGCATCACATTTAGAATTCATTTTTAATTTAACCAATCAATTTAATTGATGTATTAAGTTACTGAGGACATGATCTTTGTTCAATGCTTTATCTCCAGCACTTAGAATAGTACCTGAATCACAGTAAGTGATCTTGTTGAATGAATTCCTTTATTTAATTAACCTCAACTGAGTATCTGTTGTTACTTCTCAGTTACAGAAGAGAGAAATGAAATCAGTTTCCACCCTTTAGGAACCCAGAGTCTAGTGAATAATCTACCTGAGATTAGAACAGACATCTCAGAACGGCCTTGGATTTTTCCTTAGGAATCATAACCTTCCCTTGTCATAACTGTCCCTACAGGTGGGCAGCTGGTAACCCAGGAAACACAAAGATGCTCCTCCGTGAGCTTAGCTGTCCTCACCGTCAAACTCTCTGCAAGAAGACTCACTTCAGAAGCTGTACACAGGCTTTGTTTGCATCATATGCGCTGCTTAGCCCAGATTTAACAAAGGGAAGTAGTCATAAAAAACCCTGGACTTCAGCCTCCTCTGGGAAAATCAGAAGATCTGACAAGCAGGGCCAGCACTTCCCAGTGGGAACAAGGGGCTAGAGTTCAGAGGTGCTGCCTCCTCTGGGGAAGGCACACTTTCTCCTGCTCTCCACAGGCCTTGCCCCGCCAGTTTCATCTCACCCCTGGCCTCTGCCCTGCCAGGCCCTGCAGAGACTGGACTGGTAACACTGTTTAAGGACAGCTTTGGAGCTTTTCTTCAGGGAGCTTAGCATCTTTTTGGTGGCATCCGAAAAAGCGGGCGTATGTGTGTACCCATTTCTCCAGGAGGCTCTCATTTTCCAACCTGAGCCCCAGGAGAAGACCCAAAGACCCCTTCCCTTACTCCCCATTACTTCCTTGAAGAAAGATAGCCCCAGCAGCCTCACCTGCCCACTCCAGCATATCCTCAATATTCTCCGCTGCCCCAGGCACAAGGCGCGTTCGATCCGTGTCCTCTAGCCTCAGGATGAAGCTTCCTCGGTATTTCTTGGCAAAGATGTAGTTGTACAAGGCAGTGCGGAGGCCACCCAGATGCAAGAAGCCTGGTGGAAGAACACAAAAGACAAGGCAAATGAGCCGGCGGGCCTCAGCCAAGGGCAAGCAGACTCTGCTTACAATAGAAGACTCCAACAAATTCAAAGCCCAAGAAATGGCTGTACCTGTCCCATCTCTCTGGCCAGCACCCAGATTACCATAGAAGAGAACCAAGATGTTTGACTCATTTTAGTCCCTAAGCCTGGAAGTGAAAGACCACCGAGGTTTTGAAGCATGTCATTTTGTAAAAAGGCTCCAACTCTCCAAAACTGCACCAGTCACTCTACTCTGACATGAAAAGGGCATTGAAAGCAGTGAGTTCGAGGCAAAGTTCCACTGGAAGGAAGAGAAGCAGAGGAGTGTTCACAGAAGCCACATCACATGTGCATTTAACGTGAACTCAGTGATGTGCTCATTAATTGCAAAATAAAAATACTGTAAAATTCATTTTATATATATACTCTTCTATGCACTGTCCATGATCATGTTATACGTTTATGTACATGCGCTGTTGCATATTATTGTACACACTTTTAATAATATCTTATTGTGTCTTCCATGAAAGTTCACACAGCAAATCAGGTTCCCATTTAACTACTACACAAATCGTTCAGTGATGTTGGTTACATTTTTCACAATATGTCAATATTCCTCATTAACTCCATTCTGGCTGTTTCACTCCCAGTAATCTGGCTTCCCTGTCCCCTTACCCTTTCATCTTTGCCTTAATTGTTGACCATTTGGTCTCATACAGATGATTTTTCTAAAGGTGTGCAGTACGTACTGTTAACAGTCTTTATTTTATGAGCCAATACATTATTTAGTTAAAAGGTGACCTCAGGGGGTAGTTTTGGTTCAAAGTTTATGGAGTATCTCAGGGCAATAGTCTTGGGGAGTCCTTTGGTTTCAACCGGTCCAGTAAGTGTGGACTTTTTAAGAATTGAGTTCTGTTCCACGTTTCTGTATAAACTTTCATATACAAACCCATGTGTCTGCATTTACGAGGCAAACAGGCGGCTTTTTCAAGGTAATTTTGCTTATTTGAATTTCATTAAATAACTGCTGGCTTTTAAACCCAAACCATAAAGTAATATTTGATTCTACTGTATTTTTTTCACTCAAGTTTAAACTCTACGATTTTACTTTTTCATCATTCCTGTAGAGAAGACTAACAATAGCAATTCTCCAGGCCTCTCATTTCCCTCATCCCACCTTCTCTGGCCTAGTCCATGGCTGTAACGCTCCACAGTGAGCTCATCTGCACTTCCAGGCATAGGAGGCGGCATGGAGGAAGAGAAGCTCCTCTGGGCTCATAGACTATGTGCATGACCTTGGCACTAGTTATTTCAAGGACACTACAAAACGGGTGCGTTCAGTGGTGCTGGGCCTCAGGAGTCCCCAAGATAGGAGACATAAGGCCCAGTGGTTGAAAGCAAGACCTCTTACATCAAATAGCCCAAAACACAAACTTTGCAACCACTATTTACTACTTGCTATCCCTTGGGCCCACCACCCATCTGGCAGTTTGTCATACTGTGGCGGCTTGAATGTTGCTGTGATGCTGGAAGTTATGCCACTGGTATTTCAAATACCAGCAAGGTCACATATGGTGGACTGGTTTCAGCAGAGCTTCCAGACTAAGCAGACTAGGAAGAAAGGCCTGGCAATCTAATTCCAAAAATTAGCCAATGAAAACCCTATGTATCACAACTTGTAAAAGGGCATCACTTTTAGGGGAGGGCCAATGAAAATGAGGGAAATCCTCAGGACACAACTACTGCCACAACGGACTCAAACATACCAACAATCACGATGTTTTGTTAAATTACACAGTCACCAAGAGTAGGAGCCGACTTGACAGCAACCAACAAAACCCCTGGTGCATGCTACTTAACTTTTATGACCCTCCATTTCCTCATCTGTTAAAGAGAGATTATAAACAAAAACCAGAAACCTTCTTCAGGAGGTTGTTGTAAGGCCTAAATGCTTATCGAAGTATATCCTCGATTAATTTTAGCTATTATATTTGTCTATGTTGCTTGATAATTCTTTTATCTGTCTGCAGTCAGCAGCCTTTCCCTCAGGGGCCTTTCCTGCAAATCAGCAAGGAGATGAGAATGATAATCGTCATAATGCATCTACTGTTTATTAAGTGGTTTCTATGTGTGTCAGACTCTACTAAGGGGCTAAACTGCATTAGCTCGACCCCAGGAGGCAGGTACTATTATTAGCCCTGTTTGACAGATGGTAAAACTGAGACTCAGAGAGGCTAAGTAATTTGTCCAGACTACAAAACTAGGAATTGGCAAAGCCAGAAATTTGAACCCAGATGACCTCAGGCCTTGGCACCTAATCCCTATACAAGTGCTACTCAAAGCGTGGTACACAAAGCACTGCTGGTCTGCAAACTATTGCCAGTTGTGAACAAGCAGAGAAACTGAGTGTTTATAAACGTTCACAGCAATGGGACATAGAAATTTTATCTGTTGAACCTAATTCGAAAAAAAAAGGCTTCTACGTTTTTAAAATTTTCTAGTAATTCGTTTACATTGATTTTACAAAATTATGAATCCACAATCGATTAGAAATTATAAGCCAGTCCCTCAACATGGTTGGTTTGAGAAGCACTGCTCTACACTATACTGCCTGCCAAGAAACAGCCTAACTCCCTGTGCGGCGCCGATCTGACCGGAAAGTAACCTTATACTGGGGCTCTGGATTCAGAACGGAGCCCTGGTGGTGCGGCGGTTAACAGCTATGGTTACTAACCAGAAGGCTGGCAGTTCAAATCAACTAGGTGCTCCTTGGAAACCCTATGGCACAGTTCTACCCTATCCTGTAGGGTCGCTACGAATCAGAATCGACTCCAAGGCAATGGGTTTGGTTTGGGTTTGGGTTCGGATTGAGGCATGCATTGTGAAGAGAGAGCAAAAGGCAGCCTCGAGGAGAAAATAGTTTTGGGAACTGGTAGGGAGGCCCTGCCTCGGCCTTACAGTCTGGCTTGCTAAATGCCACACATACATCACAAGGCCTTTGTACCGACAATTTCCTCTACCCAGAAGATTTCTCCTAAAGGTTTCACATAGCCAACTCCTTCTTGTTATTAGGCTCTCAGCTCTACTGTCACCTCCCCAGCAAGGCCTTCCTGTGCATTCTTCCTACCCTCTACCCTGCTTCGTTTCCCGCATAGCATACATGACTCTCCACAAATACATTTATTTTTGTACGTGTTTGTCGGGGCCACTACAGTGCAGGCCTCTAGAGAGAAGAAGTCCTAACTTTCTCGAAAACCACTGTATTCTAGTGCGTAGAACGGTGCTTGGCACACAGTTCGTGCTCAACCCTCATTTACTAGATAAATGGAAAAAAGAGACCGGAAAAAATGGTACAGAACAACATACAAAAAAAAAATTCAGGGAATGCGAATGAGTTCCGCTAAGGGGCCTCAGTTTTCGTCTCTGTATAACTGGGGTCACGTTGCCCGCCAGTCCACTCTAGCCGACGAGATTTGTTCGGGAACATTGGGCGGGGGGGCGCTGCGGCAAGTAGCGTCACGTCCGCCAGTTTACCTGTGGGACTGGGAGCGAACCGCACTCGCACCGCAGCCCCGGAATCAGTACTCAGGCAGGCCTCGCGCCGTCCCACCGGGCGGCCTAAGGCCACCGGCGGTGACCCAGGCCACAGCAGCCTCTTCAGAAGCGCCGCCATAGGAATTGGAAGCGCACACGTGGGTTTTTTCAGCATCACTTCCGGGGACTCCTCCCAGCCAATCAGCCTCCGCCACAGCAACCGAATCCCCGCCTCCTTAAAGTCACAGTCCTATTTGCTTGAGCACCCACGCCCCCCCGGACGGCTGCAGCACCACTCCGCCACTAGGGGGCAGAGCCTTTTGAGTTTCCGCCCCCTCGGCTCGTGAAAGCTAAAGCGTGGCAGGGGCCGGCCTGGGAAGCGGAGGAGGCGGGTCTCCATAGAAACCTCCACTTGTTTCCGGCCAGGCTGTGAGAGATTAGGGGCTGCTGCGGGGGCCAATCTCAACCAGTTTGCCTTTTCCCAGCGGCCTCTGCGGGAGCGGTGGGTGTTGTACACAATCATCATGGCGGCGGCCGGAGCCCCGGATGGTGAGTGTGGAGGGGCTGGCGGACGCCCAGGTTGGGCCGAGGTGAAGCTGGCGCAGCGGTGGGGGGACGCGGCCTGGCCCGGGAGGGAGTAACCTGGCCCGGGAGCTGTGGTCCGACGGGGGTCGGGCAGAGTCCGGTCCCAAGCCCAGCCCGCGGCGAGCGCCCACCCCCTAACCCCTTTGCAGGCATGGAGGAACCTGGCATGGACACAGAGGCCGAGACGGTGGCGGCCGAGGTGCCCGCGCGGCCTCTCAACTGCGTGGAGGCTAAAGCCGCGGCGGGGGCGGCGGCCGAGGACTCCTGCGCCGCGCGAGGCAGCCTGCAGCCAGCCCCGGCCCAGCCCCCCGGGGACCCCGCGGCCCAGGCCTCGGTCAGCAACGGCGAGGACGCGGGCGGCTGCGCGGGTAGGGAGCTGGTGGACCTGAAGATCATCTGGAACAAGACCAAGCACGACGTGAAGTTCCCCCTAGACAGCACAGGCTCCGAGCTAAAACAGAAGATTCACTCAATTACGGGTAATCTCCTTAGTACTGACAGCCAGCCTCCTCACTCCTGTTTCTAGTGATTACGCTGTGCTAGGGTGCGTGCTGGCTGCTTTACTTGTATCAGCTCCCTTAAGCCTCACAACAGTCGTCCGAAGTTAAGTACTGCCATGCCTAGTGTTCAGATGGTGGAAAACGAGGCCCATGATCATTGAGTGAGTAGTAAGTAGCTGAGCGAGGATTCAAGTCAAGGTCTGAGTCTTAGTCCCAAGCTAGTAGCTGATGTTGCCCAAGGATCTTTAATAAGGACCACTCGAGGCACTTGTTAAATATACAGCTCCCAGGCCGTTCCCCCTGTAGATTCTGATTCACTGAGTCTGGGATGTGGCCAGGAATTTATGTTTAGCAAGTGTCTTAGGTATTTCTCTTAAGGAAAATTTAGGGAACACTGCTTTTAGCCATCATGCTGGCTCCGTGACAGATGCTTATATTACTTAATTTTATCTTGTTTGTACCAACTTGCCATCTGTAATGATTTCTTTTTTTAAAGCTTTCTTGGCATGGCCCGTAAGCACCATAGGAGCAGGATCTTTGTGCTTCTTATTGACCACTGTATTCCTGATGCCTGTGGGTTCAATTCAAGTGATTGAATGACTAAAAACAACTTGGAATGAATGGTAGCCAATATTTATTGAGCAATTACTGCGCTGCACTAAGTGCACTACATCTATCTTATCTCTTAATCCTTAAAATAAGCCTATGTATAAAGAACCACTGTCATTTCTGTGGGAGCCCCTGGGTGGCACAAACAGTTAAGAACCTGGCTGCTAACCAAAAGGTTGGCAGTTCACGTCCACTCACAGGCACCTTGGAAGAAAGTCCTACTAATCTACTTCTGAAAATCAGCCATTGAAAACCCTATGGCGCACAGTTCTACTCTGACTCATGTGGGCTCATCATGAGTCGAAGGCGACTCACTGGCAACTGGTGGTTATCATCTTTATTATATAATTTGGGAAATTGAGGTTCAGAGAGATTTGTGAATTGCCCAAGTGCACACAAATGGTGGAGCCAATATTTGCTACCTGGTCTGTTGTCAGAGGGCTCTGGTCCACATACATTTATTTTTTCCTTTCACTGTCTGCCCTCTACCTTTTCCTAAGGTCTCCCACCTGCCATGCAGAAAGTCATGTATAAGGGACTTGTTCCTGAGGATAAGACTTTGAGAGAAATAAAAGTGACCAGCGGGGCCAAGATCATGGTGGTTGGCTCCACAATAAATGACGTTTTAGCAGTGAACACGCCCAAAGATGCAGCACAGCAGGACTCAAAGGCCGAAGAAAACAAGAAGGAGCCTCTATGCAGGCAGAAAGTAAGTCCTTTGTGATTGCTGGTCCTAAGAAGTTTGAGGCTTTGTCCTCTTGAGCCTTGGCTGGCTACATTGTCCCTAGAATAAGCTCCTTTTCGGACAGGGCCCATGATGGAAATTATGGCAGCAGTTGGGTGCGGCTGGCTGTTGAGTGGAGGTGACAACTACCTGAGATTTGCAACTTTGTCTCATCTGGCGGGTCAGTGTGTCTCAAGTCTGTCTACTTTAGGTTAAGGCCTTTGTAAAGGCACGTTTCAGACCAGACATTGAAAGGAATCAGACGCTGGTTTCTCTGTCCTATTCAGTGCCAGAGAAAAGTGCCATTCCTGGACATAAGGGCCCATTTTGCCTAAGTGCTTAAGTTTGTTTTTGGTTTGTGGCTTTCCCCAAGTCAGCAAGCCCAGTTCTGAGTAGGTAGGGAAATCATAGCTTTCAGAGGTTCCTCTAAAACTGACCCTTCCAGGAAACCACATGAAACTGACTAGAAAGATAACTACACAGATTTTTTTTTTTTTCCTTTCTCCTGACTCATGAAACGGAGGTGTAGTTTTTCACATTTTCTGTTGCTCCTTTTGGATGGAAGAGATTCACCCTTGTCTGTGTTCATCACAGCCAGTAAAACTCTTTCTGTAATTAGGATAGTTAGGTTATTTTATCATAGAAGGGATGGGTTGGAAAGATCATTACTGGAGATCGCATCACCCAGCAAACCCCACTTGTTGCTACGTAGCCTCCTTAGCCACTCTTGATAGAGTTCCAGGAAAACAGATATTCACTATTTGACCTGGTTCCTGAGTGGAGTAGACCAACTTGAATTAACGTCAGTTTCAGTGACCATGGGTACCAGAGCATATGGCCACCAGCTTAAGAAGGGCACAATCTTGACTAACAGGTCCATGATCCCTTTTTATGTTTTCCAAACCCACAAAAAAGATCTAAAAACCAGAAGTGTTTTCAGAAGTTTGGAAAAACCTGACCAGAACAGACATGAGGCTGGTTTTTAGTCTCATTTGTTACAATAAATGTAAATGTTCTTATTTTACTACAGAAATATTAACATGTTTGATAACATGGTGCTGCCCCAGACACCATGGGGATATTATGTAATATGTTTTAAAATTATATTACCTTTATAAAACTTCCAGAATTCTGAATTACAAAACATTTGTCCCTAAGAGGTTCAGATAAGGGCTTGTAAACTTGTATTAACATCTAAAAGGTGTTTATTTGGATACTTCACCCCAAATATGGGGTCAGTGTGTCTTGTAACCAGTTGGGTTCAATTCCATTTTCCTGTCTTCCCCTGCCACATGTGTGAAATAGTCAACTGTGAGCATGTCGGATGTGAGAAGATGTTCCCACTGGTCACACCCTTTGAGCATAACATACTTCTTAAGTACAGGTTTTGAGTTACTAATGGTAACTTAACAGGCCTAGAACTGTTTCCCTAGTGCAGGGAGAATTCTTCAAAAGTACTTGCAAGCTGTGACTCAATTAATGCTTCAAACCCATGCTGTTTTATTTCATTAATGCAATTGTGAGAGGGACCCAGTTCCCTGGCTTTTTATCACCTTTATCAGGAATCTAGTGCTGATACATAGGCTGACAATCTCTGCTGATAGTTTGGCAGTGTTGAGCCCATTCCTACCAGAGGGTTTCTGCCATGTGGCAAGGGTTTGAGCTGGCTCATGGCCACCAGGTGCTTAAAGACAATTAAGTTTTTATTTACCCTCTGCCCACTCATTACCCTATAGCTCTAGCTGCACCAAGCAATGACTCCACCTATAAAAGCAAAGATGGAGAGGAAACAAAACTCAGGCATTTGGGGCAGGCAAGAGAGCTGTTTAAGGGAGCCTTGAGGAAGCTACTTAGAAGTCTTAGTATAATGTCAGGCTATAAAATAATCAGTGTTTCTATTTGGAAATTTGGCTCAGCAGTTTCTTGTTCAGCTGGGGTTGGGTGCCAGGCCAGGAAGACTCCTTGCAGGGAGATACTGGACTAGATGTCTGTTGGAGAAATGCCCCTTCCAAGCAGTTAGGCTGATTACCAGTATCATTGTAGTTTCCTTGGGGTTTTAAGTTGACAGAAGCGACTATCATTTTGAACCTGCCAGCAAAGCCCAGCCTTTGTGGCTTTTTTTAACTTGATGTTGAATCCTTTTATTGGTGATGTTTTGGCGGCGATTGAGAGGAGAGAAAAGGATAAGGGAGTAGAGTTTATTTGAAGTAGCAGTCTGGAATTCTTTTTGCTCTAGAACCACCATATTTAATATGGTTGCCACCTGTGTCCGATGAAAAATAAAGTTACGAATTCCGTTCCTCAGTACACTAGCCACATTTCAAGCGCTCAATATCCTCAAGTGGCTAGTGGTTACCGTTTTAGATGGCACAGATACAGGGCATTTCCATCATTGCGGGAAGTTCTGTTGAACAGCACTGCTCTATAGTGTCGGAGGACCTATTAGTCTGTAGACGCAAAAAGGTTTTGAACCAAAACACCAAGGGTTTCTTCAGCCTGTCTGCCAGCAAGGTAGTACCATGACGAAAGTGTAGTCAGTTGGTTCATTTCGGTTTTTTTCTGACTTACGTTATAGCAACACAGGAAAGTGTTGGATAAAGGAAAACCTGAAGATGTGATGCCGTCAGTCAAGGGTGCCCAGGTAAGTGAAACTCCTTCGTGATCACTCTGAACATGAACTAGTCCTACTTCTGAGATGCCTGGAATCGTGTCCTTGCATCCAGTTTCGCTTCTTCTTTCCGTCTTACTTTGCTTCTGGCCTCTTCCTCTCTTACCGTGCTCTTGTGCCTCCAGGAGCGCCTGCCAACGGTACCCTTATCCGGCATGTACAATAAGTCTGGAGGGAAAGTGAGACTCACCTTTAAGCTAGAACAAGACCAGCTGTGGATTGGCACTAAAGGTATGTTCGTTAGTGCTCTCCACCACTTCCTGGCTCAGCTGCCTGCCTCTGGCCCCCAAAGGCACTCACTCTCTGGTGCCATTCCGGTCGTCATTCTGAAACCTCTCTCTCCTTACTATGCTCTGCGTGCTTCTGGCTTTTGATTTTGCTTTTGGACGCTTGCGTTCTGTTTGGACCCTTTGCCTTCATTCTTCTCAGTTTGCTCTCAGTGCCAGTCCATCACACATTGGCTCATTACTTGCACGGAATCACAGGTCCCGAACGTGTGGTCCAAGAGCCATGTCTGGTCCATAGGCAAGGGTTTATGGGTTTACACACAATCTGAAAAAAATTGGGAGATATCACTTAATCTGATTTTTTTGGCTTCTCTTGAAAAATGTCAAAAGATCTGGCCCTTGTGGGACTGCTTTCTCCCATGGCAGTGGTCAGCTGGAGCTGAGTGGTGGTTCCCGATGGGCCATGCTGCAGTGCCCGCTGCTTCCATTGATCTTCCACGTCACCTGTCTAGCCCCTGTAGGTCAGAGTTTGACCCTGTGCCAGGTGAAATTTCCTAACTACTGCCTAGGAATCTGGCCCTCCGCCTACTGCCTGGTGGCGCTCTGCCTGCCCCGCCCCTGCCTGTGCACTGCATCTGGATCGGGCTTGCTGGGAAGTGTCTCTTGATTATCCTCCCTTCCCCTTCCCCCAGTGGCTACAAAGCTTTGCCAGTTATACCCCGGAGTTGTCTGTATCACTTTCTTTGCCATCACATTGTGCCCACTTAGGCTCCCAGTGTCCTTAAACTTGGTCTATTGAAAGCAAGTTAACCTATTTCCTTGCCCCATCTTTGTTCTTGTCTGTATTGTCCATCTTCCATACTGTTTTTTGTCACTGGTTCTTGTGCCCAAAAACCTTTGTCTCTCTAAGGCCAGGTTCAACTGCCTAAACCTAGTGTTCAGTGTTCTCAACAACGGGGCCCCAGTTTAAGTTTTGCCCTAGCGTCCTGCCCTGCTTGCACTGTTGTGGCCTGTGTATTTCACCGGTGTCCTCTCCCTGAACTTCTCACTATGCTTTGCACAGCTCTGTGTCTCTGCTCAAACCGTGCCCTTACCTGGAATGCCTTCTTCCCATTCCTTTGTTAGTAATACAGCCTTCCAAGGCCCTACTTAAATGTCCTCTCCTGATAAAGTCTTCCCTGGTATCCCCCAACCCTCCAAATGAATTGCTGCTGCTTCTGTTCACAGAGCGCTCCGTTTAGGCCCCCAGAGCACTCATTTCTCTCTGACTTATCTGTCCCCCGTTAGATTCCCGGAAGAAATGGAACATGCTTAATTCACCTGTTTTCTGGCCAGCACTGTAGGTATTTAGTGCACCAGGTAAATGCTAAAGAGAAAGTATAGGGGGTCCCATCATCAGAAGTTAATTGCCTTCAGAGACAGGCCATTTAGTCTGCAGCTACTTAGAATGGAACCAAAGTGTTATGGAAAATAATGAGGGCAAGGGTGGTGGGGAGTGACAATTTATCATCTAAAATATGAAGCTTAGTTTCTTATTTTCAACTCTTTGCTGCTGCTTCAGTGAACAAAAACTGAAATGCCAAAACGCTTGATTTTTCTAACAATCTTATGTTAACTCGTCTGTTCTCCATTTCACCTTTGACTCTAACTGCATGGTCAAAGCAAAGTTTGCAACATATTTAAGAGCTTCCCCAGTTTTTAGGGGCCTTTGAACCCTCTACTGGTCAGATCATTGTGTCTGCAGAGCCTGTCACATCACCGCCTTGTCCTTTTCTCTTCAGTTGCCGGCTGCCCTGTCTCTCAGAGCCTCACTTCTTAATGACCATACAGGTGATTGTGCCTAGTTCTCTTCTCCATCATTACATTGATTTGCTGAAATCCTGTCTCCTGCTGGACTTCTCATTTCTCCTGTGGGCAGCCTAGTCAAAGGCAGTTTTTAGACTGATCCAGAAGGACAGTGATGAGCAGGGGGTTAGGTGTAGTGTTAAGGGAGGGACAAGTGTCTGGAGGAAGACCAAGTCTGTGAATGGTCATTGGCTCCTTCTGAAGATTTTCATGTTACGAGGCTGTGTAGGAAACAATCTGTAACTGCAAAGACAAACATAGTGAGAATCTTCCTGTACCTGTATTACAGGTTTTATTTTCGCTTGTGGGAACAACCACCTTTCTGTTTTGGCATAAAGGCAGAAGAGCTTTAGAAAAATCTGCATGTGTTAGGGCTTCAGAGCTATTGAAACCTTCCTCACTCACCAGCCTCCTTAAAGATGGGGCTATGAACTGTTTGTGTCTTCAGAGGCTGACCAAGGCTTAGAAACTTGACATTTGCCTTCCCACCCAAGACTGCTGTATCGCTGTACCTCAGGAGCCCGTGGGGGCAGGCAGTCCCTTCTCACATGCCCAGGAGTCCTGTCATCTGAGCGTCATAAGCACTCTTACAGGAGGACAGTTTGTTCGGGGAGCTGGCTACTAGCCACTGGCTTCATCTTTCTGCTGGCAAGAAGCTGCTGTGGAATGACCAGCCCAGCAGCCAGTTGGCTTCCTGATGGGGTGCTTTTCCGAGTGAGTGCCGCTCACGGAGTTCCACTCACAGCTTAAATGCTCCGACATAGCTTCCGTAGGAGGCAGTACTAACAGCTTCGGGCATAAAGCAAGAAGCACAGACTCCAGACAGGTCACATAACGGGGGAGGGTGTTTGCCCTGTTTATAGGGGGCAGTTGAGACTCTAATCTAGCTGATTGCTGTCATTCAGCAGTGTGGGCCCTGAATGGTTAAATCTTCAGAGTTTTCAAGAGAAGCCAGAAATCAGATTTTTGTGGGAAATCTCTGGACATCTCAAGAAGACAGATGTTTTGGAAAGTTCCAGTCTTAAAGATGACTGCTGGTCATGCATTGCATAGAGCCACTGAAGTCAAAACCTGAGTGAACATCTTCCGTCCCGTTTCCTCCCACCCCCATTTTTAAGAGACCCGTAGACTGGAAGTAAAATGCTTCTAGTCACCAGCTAGACTAGAACCCAGGTCTCTAAATCCCTAGTCAGTTGTGTCAACCTACCTATTTTCAGTTTCTCCCTTTTTCAGATTTTTCTTTCCGAAAAAACTGTAATGAGGTTTTTCCAAATTGATATAATTGTTTGCTGAGAACGGCCCTTTGCACCTGAGGTCTCTGCTACTTCCAGGTGGTCACGTTCTGTTGGGCGGGGCAGGGCTTCCACAACCCCTGCCATCACTGCCAGCCCCGCTGCGCTCAGCTCGCCTCCAGCACACCCATCTCACTCCTGGCCTCCTTCGCTGCCTCCTCTTTCTTACCTGCTATTCTTTAAAGTTGCTGCCAAATTCTTTGATCCCATGTGATAAGGGGTACCTCAAGTGTTCATCAGAAGAGGTTATAAATGTTTTAAGGGAACTTCTTAAAGTATGTGTATGTGGAGGGGAGTGGGGGACCAAGGGGTTGTCAGGGAGGGAGTCTGGCCGGGGGCCAGCGAGCCGGATCCAGGGAGAGAAACTAGTCTTAAACCCCTAAGCACTCCTCCTTCTCCTGTGAGCGCCACCGGGGGACAGTGCCGGCTCTTTGTTTTTGGTCTTGACTGTCCCTCGCCCAGATGCCAAAGACCTTATCCAGTGCTTGGTTTGGGTGATAAGGGTACAAAGGAATTTCTTGGATATTTATTAATCATCAGACTTTAAAAAACGATGCCAGGAAAGATACATCTCTGTTCTCAGAGAGCTTTAATAGACCCTGTTGCCCATGTGCTCCTCAGAAGTTCCCAACTCCCACGCAGGGTACAGCGATCAGAAGACCCTGTCCCGTTGTCCCTAGAGGGCAGGGCAGCAGGGACTTGCAGATCCCACAGCCCCCAGCCCTGACGAGGGACTGCTGAGTCAGAACAGGAGGGCCTTTGAATAATCACTGTAATCCCTCTCAACTTAGAGCGGACTGAGAAATTGCCCATGGGCTCCATTAAAAATGTGGTCAGTGAACCTATCGAAGGACACGAAGACTACCACATGATGGTAAGTAGCACTGGCTGGGCTGAGCCCCTCGCTAGACCCCTGCTTCTGCTTATGCAGCAGGGAATGGATTTCTAACTGAGCTTTTTAACTGAGAAAAATCAGTCTTCAGCAGGCACACTTCTTTCAAGACCCTCATGTTTTCTTCATCGCCTTAGAACTTGATCCATGACCCTATATCCCAAGTTTTATTTATTTTGCAACCCCTGCCCCTTCCAGCAATGGGATAGGCTTTTCTCTTGTTCCTTTTAAATGTCTCTTTTGCCTCCCTCTTATTTGTAATATTTTGTTTTTAGACCAGGAAAATAAATATAAAAGGAGGAATGGCTTCTGGATTTTTATTTGAAATTTTGTCTTGCCTCTACAAATAAAAGCTTCACCAGCCTTGGTGTTTGTGAGGACTCTAGGCAGCCTGTCTTCTGTAATGGTCCTCCTCTTCCAGGCCACAGCCATCAAGTGTCTGAGGACCTTTTGGGGAGGACGGTGTGTGGGACACGTGTTGTGCAGAAGGGTCTGCTCTGAAGAGAGCAGGCTACTCTTGAGCCGTCTTTCCTGGGACAGCATGATGGGAAGCGTTTCCCACATCTGCAGAGCAAAGGATTCCATGAGCTGATGAAACAAGCAGCTTAGGCACACCCTTTCTCTTTTCCCAGCACTGTTTGGAGGGGCTGCTTTAAAAATGCATTTTAGCTACCTAAATGCCCCATGTTGCTATGACAGGGACCTGACCTGAGCAGTAATAGGGTGAAGGCGGGGCCTTCTGCCATTCCGCATCTGAGGAGGCAGATTTTTCAGCGTGTAGCCAACGGGGATGAGTAGCTATGTAGGGCCACATTGCAAGGGAGGGAACTGCTCGTGGTTCGATTGTGGTTGGTGTCACAAAGTCCACTGCAAAGGGATGTGTTGGAAGACCCCAGGAAAAGGCAATCTAGCATTATAATTGTTCTCTCTTTGGGCAGGTGGTCAGTCCCCTTGCTACAGGAAAAATCAGTTAGTTGAAGGGACCCAAATTTTGGTTGGCCAGCAAGCCAGCAGTGTTCCCTGCCCTGCCCTGTTGACATCTGTCAGCTTGGTAGTGCTGAAGTAGGGCTGAAGCAGGGCTGTGGTCGGGATTGCAGTGCCTGGGGTGCAAAGCCCCTGGGGTGTTCTGCTTTTCGAGTAGTGACACCATCACTGGGGCCTCTTCAGGCCCTCTGGTGGCTCTATCACCCCTAGGCTCTGTAGACTCTAAAACAAGGATTGCAGGCCACTATGCCTGTGGAAATTTTGTGTGCTCAGTTATTTTTTTCTGTTTTAAAAACTGGATTTGGATATTTTCAACTGGGCCCCTCACTCCCTTTTGAAACATTCATGTTAACCAGTATGGCCCTCAAGAGTTCATAACTCCAGTTTTCAAGCAGCCAGGTAATAAGGATTTAAAACAGGCTGAGTGAACCATTTTGAATGTATTTTAAGAAATGGTGTGGATGAGTGATGACTTAGCATTTAGCTTAAATGCTCCCTTCTGTCTGGAATCATTTCTGATAGAGGGTGGTCTTAAGAGCCCCCTTCTCTCTTCTAAACACCAGTAAGAAGCACTTTTACGTTTGTCCTGACAAAAGTCTTTAATTCTCTCTTTTTGCAGATGCCATTTCATTAGCTAGATTGATACTGTATCAGAGTTCACATTAGAAAAGTGTGGCTGTGCTTTTTCATTTTTAGAGGAATGTTTAAAAATACAGAAAATAAAAAAAAAAAAAATGGTATTTTAACAAACCCAGATACCCATCACCAAGACATGACAATTGTAAATATTTTGTAACTTGCTTTAAGTCTTTTTTGTAAATAAAAGAAATTTACCAACAATGGCTTCCCCATGGTCTCCCCCTCTCCTTGTCACCATTATCATGAGTTTAATACATATCCTTCCCATCTGTCTGTGCTTTTATTTCCGCATACACCCACGAACGACACAGAGTACTGTTCTGTGTTTTTTCAGTTGACGTGAATGGTATCTTGGTATGCATCGTTCTGCAACTTGCTTTTTTTTTTCGGTTGGACATTAAGATCTGTTTATATTGTCTGTAGCTCTAGTTCATACCTTGTAAAAGTAATCCCATATTCATACAAAGAGGCCACGTCACTTTTAATTGTGCATTCCCTCACTGACGGATATGTAGGTTGTCCCCAGGTTTTCGTTATTTCTGACAGTGCTGTTTTGAACATTCGTATCTGTTTCCTTCTGCATGCGTGGTAATTTTTCTAGGGCAGCAGTTCTCACACGGTGGTTTCCGGATCAGCACTATCGCAGCACCTGGGAGCTTGCTAGAAATGCAGATTCTTAGGCCCCCCAGGCCCACCAAATCAATAACTCGGGCAGAGCCCAGCAATCTGTGTTTTAACAAACTCTCCAGATGATTCTGGTGCAACCTCAAGTTTGAGGACCGCTGCTTTAGGGTTGGCTATGCTTAACTCTCCCACTTTATTTTTTTGACTTGTTAGGAGAATGCTCCCCATGTGCACAGTTTGTTGTTGTTTTTTCCTTCCCTTTTGAATTAACTCACTCCCCACCCTCCCCTGTTTGTTGTTCTGCCTCCTTAGTCTCTTGACCTCTGAAGTACCGCTTGGTTTTCCTTTTTCCCTTCCAGGCGTTTCAGTTGGGCCCCACGGAAGCCTCTTACTACTGGGTGTACTGGGTTCCAACTCAATATGTGGATGCAATCAAAGACACTGTGCTGGGGAAATGGCAGTATTTTTGAAAGCACTTTCACCTCTGGCCCAGGAGACTGACCCAAAGTGAAGGACATTGCTGGGAGAGGCCTGCAGCATCCCTGGATTTCAGAGTTCTGGAACTTTGTTCAAAAAACAATCTGTATCCAATCTAAGGTGATATGATGACTGAAGCCAGAGGTGATGTACTTTCACCATTAGCTTAATTTTAACTTAAAAATCACCGGTCCCCTTTTCTTGCAGTCAGCTTCATACCATTTTTAAAGTCATTATGGTGGAAATCAATAAATCTGAATTCCGAACGTGCTGCGTGGAATAGTCTTAAGTGTGTTTGAGAGTAGATCTGCCAATTTTGTTTAGAAGGGAATGATCTAAAGCTTTCTGGGTTTTTTTAAAAAAGTGATTTCAATGGAAATATTTTCATAAATCTTTGGTTGCTAACATTTGGACTGCGTTGTGATAAGTTGGGTTTTTGGTTTTTCTTTCCCTTATAAAATTGTATGCAAAATGGGAGGGTTAGTAAGCCATATTTTTCTGCCCATTGATTCAGATTTAATTCTTTCCCTTTCTTATTTTCTCACTTCTTAGATTTGAGTTTTTGTTTTAAAAACCCAAAGATACCACTGTTCTTTTTGTACCTCATCCACGGTTCTTTTCCTGGGCTCCCTCCCACCACGCTGCTGCTTGTGAACGAGTGGTGGGAGCGGAAGGGCTCTTTGGTCTCGGTCAGGGAGCTCTCACCCCTGCTCTGGCGTTTGTCGGGCAGCAGAGTATCTCGAAGTGATTCCTGTCTAAATGTCTTGCCCTTTGGCTCTGATCTCCGAGGAGTTGGACCACTGGCTCGGGCTGTCTGCAGCCCTCCCCAGCTTGGTTTTGAGGCCCAGCCTGGCCATGCCTGGGCCATGCTGCTGAAAAGGCCATGCTCCCAGGCAGACAGAGGGCTTCTTCGTGCCAGGTAGAAGCTAGTTTATACAGCCGTAATACCTTCTTTATTTGGAAGTTTTCAAGAAATTCTGAAGCAGTCCAATGGTTACTTCGATTATGCTTTTCCATTTGGTCCTTCTGCTCATCTGTTCAGTTCAAGTGTCCTTTATCCCAGATTCAGAGATGCTGCCTTTCTCAATAAGATGACATCTGACCTAGTGGGTTGGCTGATGTACTTAAACAATGAAAATGGGATAAATTGCTTTCATGATTCGATCGCCCTCTTCTGGTTTTAGCTCTTATGTTCTCGGTACACGTGAACTTCTGTTGTCTCCTGGTGACTTGATTGACCTGAAATGAGGGAAGTCTCTTGGTGAATGATATCCTTCGTGCTGTTTGCTGTTTCTCTGCTGCTGTCTTTGTGATTCTCCTCTCACTGGTTGCAGGCTCTCATAGTAGGGTTTGGCGAGAGATTCTCCAATCTTCACATTTTGGATTCTAGGCTGTTAGCCCTCACTCTGTGAAATGTATTCGCATGTGTTCGCCTAAGACAACTATTCCTTGTGAGCCAGTTAATGGTGATATTCCACACTCCTCCCTTCTAAGCTGTAGTTCAGGAATCCAGCCCATGTAGACAGACTCTAGCTTTTCATGGTGTAGTTGATGCCAAGTTCTGCATCTGGGCAGGAAAATCTACTCTTGCTTATTTTGGAGACATACGTACATATGTGAAGTGCAGCATCCAAAAATCTGCCTGTTTTTCACCCGTTGAAAAAGGAGCAGTAACTGTGGTTTTTCTGTCCTTGTTGGCCTGTAGTTCCTGGGGAAGAGACTGCGTCTTCGCTACTCATCAGAGCCTCCCTCTGCAGTTAACAGGGCTGCAGAGGAAACCATCATGTAGCAAGTGGAGCATCATCTCAGTTCACACACTGCCCTTTTTGTTGGCCAACACTCCTGTCCTAGTGGCTTGTTCTGACAGTACCGCACACCCATTGTTGATCTCTCAAGGCAGGTGTCTGCTTCCCCCAACTTGCCTTGAAATGCTGCTTTCAGAGGCCTCCTCCTGCCAGTTCTCATCATTTGCCTTGTTGGAGTGGCTCCCCACACTGTCTGACTCCCCTTCCGCCCAGTGAGAGTGTGCGTTCCACCATCTCCGTGCTCCCTGGGAGCCAGACTGCTTCTCACTCAGGCTGGTGTCATTTCAAGACAGGACCAAAGCCTGCGTGAGCCTTTTTATGTTAAGTAAAATGGTGCTTTTTTCCTTACTTCAAGATGTTATATATAGACAATAACATACATGATACCTTTTGGTACGGAGCTGTTTGAGTATTGCTTTACAGAGCTCACTGAATCTGCTAGAGCGATCTTGAGCTCTGGCTCCTGACCCTGTCTGCATGGAAGACCTTGCTAGAAGCTTTCGGGAGAGCGGGAGAGCAGAGGTAGACAGCACCAGAAGCCACTTGGGGGAGTGTTTGACTTAGATCCTTGTCTGGGTCACAGCAGTGTTCACTACTTTGTCACGCTGTCCGTGACTGTTTCTTACAGTCCGGAATGTACTGACTAAATCTGTAAGCAGATGGAAACACTCTTCCCCTTCCGTAGCATAACAGTGTTTATTTTTTTCTCAGGATTATTTCTGTACAGTTTCTTCACTGTCACTCTCTTTTCTTTAGTCTGTCAGAGGATACGGTTCTTTTCCTTGGGGTCGCGATCTTCCCTTGCTGTAGCAGAGGGTGTGCAGGTGGATAAGGGAAGAACTGCTTCCAGTGGAGGGACTCTAATGTGCATTTATCTGAAGCTAGAGATTGAGGGAGGGCCTGTTCACCGCTAAGGGGCTAAGGGGGTTGCCGTCTCGTCCATGTTGGACACTTTGCTGGGCCTCCTGATGGGCTTTTGTCTTTCTAGAGTTTGTACTGGTGAGCCTCTTGCAGGTCTTTGCTCACAGACATCATGCCTTTTTTTCCTTACCTGAGGTGACTTGCCAGAATAATGACAACATCATCCTTTCTAAGGCCTGGTCCCTCTTATCTCTGTCTCAGTCCAGTCAGAGAACTTAGAAAAGATAGACTCTCAAGTTGCTGGAACCCTTTGGTATTAAGTATTTTAATTGATGATGGGCCCTTTGCAAGTAGCGTTAGCTCTTTTTAAATGAAGTTGAACTGAACTAAGGATGCACTTTCTTATGATCTTGTGGACATAGTAGGGGCACAAGTGAGGCCCGCCGTTGGCTCCTTAGTTGCTGCTTTATTTCATGAGGGCCAAAGAGATTAATTTTGCCATGTTGCCATGTCTCTGAGAAGTTGCCATATTTCAGCCAGAAGGGGTTTGCTCTCTTCCTCTTAGTTTAACCATGTGCCTGGAGGAGCCGTCCGGGCCCTTGCACTTGGCCCACCCTTGCTTTGCCAGGGGCAGAGAAGGGAAAGGGGGTAGATTACATGTGCCAAGGGTGTGCAAGGGCAGGCTTTCTTTCCACCGCATCTTCTGAGGGAGACTTCCTCTTGCTCCTTGCCTCTGTTCATGCCTGTTGTCTTGGAAAAGGATGGTCCTTTGTCTTAAGGCTTTGTGATAAAAGTCCTCTCCAGCTAGGATCGGCACCTGTTTCCTTCCTAATCAGGCCTGGTGACTTTTCTGAAGTTACAGGTGGTCAGGAGCCCTCTAATGTGCAGAACATCTGGTAGATTTACCTACCAGGCTGGGTGTTTCTACTGCTTTCTGAATTTCTAAGAACCGTTTTCTTTTTCTTTCTTAAAGAGTTCTGCAGAATTATTCGACAATATACGTAAGTACCGTGTCTCCTTGTGGTGTATGCTTTGTTCTGGTTTTTGTTTTTAAATCACATGCCTGTTTGGGAGGAGATGAACATATTTAGTCTATTAGATTTGCGCTGCTGGATTTTTTTTTTTAAGTGTAACCTTGACTAGCTGTATTATTGTTTATCCTGTAAGATTAGTCTATCAATTAAAGTTTGATAATTAATTGCGTCTCTTTTTCCTTCCAGTTCTTCATGCACTTAATCCATACTGGGGATTGACCAACATTTGGAACTGGGCCCAAAGCCATCTTTTTGCCTGCTGTAGTTTATTATATTACTGTCTTATTTATTTGGCCTTAAGTATATCCAAATTTGAGGGGCCCTGGTGGCACAGTGGTTAAGCACTCAGGTGCTAACTGAAAGCTTGGCAGTTTGAACCCACCAGCCGCTCCACGGGAGAAAGATGTGGCAGTCTGCTTCCGTAAAAATTACAGCCTTGGAAACCCGATGGGGCAGTTCTGCTCTGTCCTGTAGGGTTGCTATGGGTTGGAACTGACTCGGCAGCAATGGGTTGGTTTTTGGTTTTATATCCAAATTCATTCTCCACTGAAAACAGCAGATAAAGGGATTGGATTTTTTTTACTTTGTGTTATTCAGAATGCCCAACTTGACAGTCTGCTACCCTCTGCTAGGGTAGCCCTCCGTTGCCTGCTCAGCCTCCCCGTCATTAGAGGGGAAGCTGCCTCCCCTCCTCCTGACTAGGCGCCTCGTGTAAGCCCAGCCATTTAGCCTTAGAGGACATTAATAAAACACTGAAAACAGAGCTTCAACTCTAGCCACAGGCTATCAAGACCCAGGAGGAGGGAGGGAAAAATCTGTTACCAGCAGTGGGACAAAAATGGAGTCCTTGGTGTGAAGAGTGATACAGTTGTCAGAACTGGTTTTGACCCAGCAACTCTCCCATTGGACCGTCTCTTCTCTTTCCCCTGTGTTGTGAATGTTTGTGAAGGTTTTGTTCTCACTTCCTCTTCCTAGCAAGGGAAGGGAAGGGGGTCAGCTCTTTTCCTATTCTCCCCATACCTCATAATCCAGGCACTTAAGGAGAGGGATGGGATGGGATGGGTAAAGCCACATGCTGTATGTTGGCTGATTCCCACCTAGAGAATCCTTTGTTTGCACAGAGGGCACATTTGGATTTTACCCTAATTCTGAACATTCACTTCAGACACCTTAAAACTAGTAAGATGATTGACTCCCTCGATGGAGAATGAGATAGACATCCCTCCAGTCTGAATATCTTCCCTTACCTTTTGGGGAGATGTTTGAGCATTTTCTCAAATGTAGGTAACTAAGTTTGGGTGGGGGAGATAAGACAGGACCTTTTGTATAAAAGGGACCCCACAAACCAGACAGTCATTAGAGCAAGAGGCAACAACTTTCTACTTTTGCCCAACAGTGTTCTGTCCAGCCCATCTGTCTGTGGGAGGGTAGAGGCTTCTGGCCTGGGGGACCTCTGCCAGCACCACTTGGCTGCTTTCAGCTGGGCTTTTCTCCCCGTCAGGCTGTTCCTGTTTCATCAAGGCTATTTTTGTTCTGAAGCCTTGTTAGCCTGTTTTACTCTCCTGATAGAGTTTTTCCTTGCTGTTTACCCCATTTTCTAGGTTAATTTTCAAGTTTTGTGCTCCTCTTTTTACCTCTTTCCCCTTTACTTAATTTTAATCTTTAGCTGTTTTTACTTTTTAGTTTTGAAAATTTTCAAATTTGCTGAAAATAAGAAATAACGCTACAGTGAACACCCTTAGACCTTTAACCTAAGTTCTGCAGTTGTTTAAAATAGTAACCATATTTATTTTCTCTTTCTGCACACACACATGCACACACATACATTCATTTTGCTGAACCGCTTGTCAGACATCACGCAGACAGTTTGACACTTCATCTGTGGTTATTTTAGCACACATCTCCTAAGAATAAGGACATTCTCACACCTATCACAATACCATTAGCTCACCTAAGAAAATATCAATTCAGTCATCTCATCTAACACAGAGACCATATTCAGATTTCCTTATTTGTCCTTACATATCTTTTAGAGCTATTTTTTCCCCATCAGTAATTCTTATATTTTTAATTCTAATCCACCTTTTTTTTTAATACCCTGTAAATTTTTCTGTTGTTGCTAGTGTTGGCTTTTTGGTCTCATCTTAATTTCCTGCCATTTTGTTTTAATTTTAGTTTTCCTTTGTGACTCTTACCTCTCGTCCTTCCATTCATATCACCGGTCTCATTATGGTGTATGCTTTGAGTTTTCATGGCCCACAAGAGCTGTGGTTCTGGAGGTGGCACCGTCAGAACTGTCACCCCCAGAGGGCAGTGTCCTCTCTGCCCACTGCTCTGATCACTCTCCCATATCTAAGTCTCCCTAAGACTAACAGACTCCAGGGGCCCGTGACTCAGGACTGACTTGGTTGTTGGCAGTAAACCCAATTCAGATGACTTAGGCAAAAGGGGTCTGGCTCATATTTACTGGGAAGTCCAGACTGTTGGCCATAGCTCAGTCCAGCTGCTCAAGTCAGCTTGGTGTCTGATCCACTAACTCCCAGCTCTGCTTTTTTGTGTGTTGGCTTAGATTTTACCAGACTTGGCAACCCCAAGGGAAAGAAAATTTTTTTCTTCCCCAATAGTTTCAATAAAAGTACCAGATAAAGCTCTTACTGGCTTGTTTCGCCACCCCTGCCCTCCACAGCCATGATAACCATTAGCCTGTAAGACATGAGCTTAGTTTACTTCCATTCATTGTGAGCCTGGGGCTTTCAGTGAACATCCACACCATATATAACAGCAGCTTTGACAGGCCACCTAGCAGGATTTTGATTTGCTATGTGCCAGGTAATGCTATTTGGAAAGCACCTTCTCTGGGCTCCAGCCTTGGGGTAAAGAGCGGGTGGTACTCTGTGTGCTCTGTCTACAAAGGACTCGCTCTGAACACTCTGCCTTCGGGTCCTGTAAGGTCAGCTCCATTTATTGAGTGGCAGGCACTGTGCCAAGTGCTTTTCACATTTCTTTTGTCACCCCTGCTTTACACATTAGAGGAAATCGAGGCTCAGAGAGGTTGGGACTTACCCAAGGCCACATGCCTGTTATTAGCTGAGGCTGCAATTCAAAAACCAGATTTGCCTGATGGTAAAGTCTTTGCTCTTAGATACTCAGCTTATTGTTGAAAATTTAGGAAAGAACTCAGTCTGCATTTATTTATTTTTGCTTTCATACTTTTTTCTTCTTCTTTCCCTGGTTTAGCTGTCTTTTTTTTTTTTTTACTGTGCCTTTGTGCATTATTTTAGATATATCTTGACTCATGGATAGATTAATAAAGTTTAATTGCTGGAAAAAAAAAAGCCTTTTAAATTTTTTATAGATATTGCCAGGTTGACCTGTAAATATTGTACCAGTTTACAACCCAGCTGTCAATATAAGAGAGTGCCTGTTTTCCCATATCTTCACTTACAATGAGGATGATCCAATTTTTTTTTCTAAATTTTATTTTTGTTACTGTTGAGAATATACACAGCAAAACATACATTAGTTTAACAGTTTCTGCATGTACCATTTAGTGACATTGATTACATTTTTCGAGTTGTGCAACCATTCTCACCCTCCTTTTCTGAGTTGTTCCTCCCTCATTAACATAAACTTGCTGCCCCCTCAAGGTCCTTATCTAATCTTTCGAGTTGCTGTTGTCAGTTTGGTCTTATATAGATAGTTTTTAAAAGAGCATAATGCTGAAGGCAGACATTTTTTATTAGTTAAGCTAAACTACTGTTCGGTTTTAAGATTACTTCCAAAAACGCCTGTTACCGTCAAGTCAATTTCAACTCATAGTGATCCTGTAGGACAGAGTAGAACTGCCCCATAGGGTTTCCAAGGAGCGGCTGGTGGCTACAAACTGTCAACCGAGCAGCCGAGCTCCAAACCACTGTGCCACCAGGGCTCCAGGATGACTTCAGGGGATATTTTTGGTTTAAGGCTTAAACATTATCTCAGGGCCATAGTAGTCTTAATGGCAATAACTTGTGCTTGTGAGTTCGGTTTTTTAAAACTCTGAACCTGGCATTTTTTAATTTTTTCATTGGCTACCATTTTTTTTAAAAAGTTAGAACAGTAATACATGCACTTGTAAAGAGATGTCAAGTGACAGGCAAGTTTCTCTCTCAGTTCTCGTAGCTTCTGAACCCCAGCTCTGATCTGTCCCTGAAGGAAGAATTCACATTTGGCTAAGTTGCATCCCAGGAGTGGCGGGTTCAGTCATTCCTACTTAAATCACTTATCAGAATGAGGGGGAGGGGGCTCCCTGATGGGAATTAGGGTACTAATAATAGGAGGAGGGAACAGGCATTGGAGAAGCGCCTTGTGTATACTCAGACTGTAGCCCTGGCTCTTGCTTGTGTGTGTTATCTGTTGCCTGCTTGGGTCTCCCACAAACACCTCAAATCCAACATGTCCCAGACTGATCCCCCTTCAAATCTGATCCTTTTCCCCTATTTCCTAACTTAGATAGCAGATCACCTAGTACCTAACCCAGGCCAGGAACTCGGGAGACATCCTAGCCTCGTTTCCATCTCCAATGCCATTTGATCAAATTCTGCCACTTTTATTTTCAGAGTTATCTTTTAAGTCCATCCTCTCTTTATCCCAACCTGCGAATCTTCATTTCTCTTATGGGCTTTTCCAGTAACCACCAGGTTCATCCCCTTCAGTCCACCCTTTGCATCCCACCAGCAATCAATCGCGAATACATTTCACCATGTTTCTCCCTGCAGAAATCCACAGTGACTCCTACTGCCGACAAGTTCCTTGACCGGATTGTGAGGCCCCCCTCCTTCGTGACCTGACCCCAACCACATGTGTAACCACAGTCAACCCTAACCTCTTTCATGCTCTAGCAGTATCCCAGACTGAACAAACTGATGTTTTACCTCCTATTTTTGCACATGTGGCTCCTCCTGCTTGTTATCCATGTCTCCTGCCCTTTCTGCATGGCTGACTCCTCTATAGCCTTGAAAATTGTGCTCAGGCTCACTGCCCATTGAAACCTTTCCCAAGTGTCAGCAACTCAGCTTCTGCTGAACTACTCCCACAGTTTTCACATACTTTAAATATTACTTTTATTTTTCCTTTTAGTACACGTTATAGTTTAGAAAATGATTATAAAAAATAAACCACATGTAATTTCTACCGTATCATCATAATGGTCATTAATATTTTGGTTTTTCAGAGAAATGGGATCATGTGCTTTATATTTTCACGGAAAACACTAATCTTTCCAGGTCACTAACTAAACTTCTGCCTCTATTTAACCAATCCCATTCTGTTGGTTATCCAATTTTATGCCATAAATATACTTCTTGTTCCATTTATCATGTTGAGTTTCCTCCCATCTTTTTATTTTGAAAATTTTCAAACCAACAGAATAGTCGAAACAGTAAGTGAACATGCACCCATTGCCTAGTCACCAGTCAACATTTTGCCACATTTGCTTTCTCTGTATTCAGTTTTTTGCTGAATTCATTTGAAAGTCAGCTGCAGACATCTTGACATTACACTCCTAAGTGTTTGGCGTGTGTCTCCTGAGAATAAGGTTATTCTGGCCACTATGTAATAATATTAATATATCTAAGGAAGTTAATATTAAGCCTTTTATATATAGTCCAAAGTCCAGGCCTTATAGACTCCCTCACACTCTGGATTTGTCTGTTTCTTCATGGTCAGATTCAGGTTAAACATTTTTAGCAGGAGTATCAGTGTACCCATCAGGAGCAGCACACGATGTCAGTTTGCTCTATTACCGGTGATGCCAAGTGGGACACTTTCACACTGAACTGTCTCCCTCCCTGGATGCTGAGCTCCCTCAGCTCAGACATCGTCGTTTCCTGCGTGTTCAGGCCCTGGCAGAGTGCTCCACACGTGGTGGCCCTCGTCTCACTGGGCGAACGAGTGCACTTACTGAGGACACAGTGAGAAGGCGGATGTGGCTGAGCTGGAGATGTGTGGGAAGAATGGCTGGAGACAGGGCCAGGACCAGGTGGTGACAGGCCTCAGAAGCCACCCTCTCACCAAAGGAACTTCCAGACTCCTGCAACAGATGCAGAAATCCTCAAAAGCATTTGTGAGAGGCCATTAAAACTATATGCATACAGTTCCATTTATTTTGTTCCCTAATTCACACACACTTTGGAATGATACATTTGGCCAGTTCACTGCCAACGTACAGCGACACTAAAGTCTCCCAGAGAACATTCTAGCAAGTTCTTAGAGCAGACAAGCTTTTGCTGTTATTTGAACACCCAGATCCTAAATGGCATGACCAATGAATTACCTGGATGTATGTGATTCAGTACATGTTTTCTCCGGTTTTGGCTCCTTTAGGACTCAAAACCGCTAGAGTGACGTGAATGGGCCATTTCATTGCAGGTGTGTGATTAGGGTATTAGCACAGCACTGTTTAACGGCAGTACTGCTATCACTACTAGGCTCATGTTTCTTACGCAGAAACAACCACAGATGCTTTTTTTTTCTGTCTTGCAAAATTCATCAGTGTATAGCTGCTATGAAGTTAAAACCAACCAGTTGAAGAACTTGAGGAATATCACCAAAATACCCCAGATGTTAAATAATGGCACATTTCATCCTAAGGAGTCACGTGGAGCCTGTTTTGTTCCCTGTTGAGTCACCAGTGCCTAACAGGCACTCGAACTATTTGTTGGATAAATGGAATTGTAAAAAAGAATGAAGACGCTCCCTATGTTCCACTTTGGCAGTTTTCCAAGATATCTTGTTAAATGTTTAAAACAACACAAACAAGGTGCAGTGCACCAGTGAATGCTTTCGTATCACTGAAAAGGGAGGGACGTCTCCCTGCTATGCCTAGAATAATTCCAGAGTGACACAGGAACTGGCAACATGGATACCTGCAGGAAGGGAAGCAGACCAGCCCTGAGTCCTACCACCACATTCTTCCTCCTCGAGAGTCTCGGTCGCTCAGCTCAGTCCCTCTCCTCTGGACACTACTACTTACCTGGTACAGGCCTTTCATCTCCCTCCCTCCTATGAACTCGGAGTTTCAGTAAAAGTAGTTATTTTGTGACATGGCTCTTGAACTAAATCTCTTTAAGGGCTCGGTAAGGACAATACGTATTGTCTACATCAACCCCAAGGGTCTAACAGCGGTAAGAATAAAAGGGGCAGCAAAAATACTCACTGAGCCATGCAAAGGGACACAGTGTCATACTGATTATCCAAGAGGAAAGACACCCCCTATCCTCCCAAACTCTTCAATTCTGTTCATTCGGAGACGGATACTTGGGGCAGGGATGAAAAACCAGTCCCACATGCTGCTCTCAGCCCCAGGATCAGATAACTAATGGAACAACAACTAAAAAATCTTTTGGAGGTCAAAAAAAGGCCTTTTATCACTAACACATTCATTTCTTATAGTGAAGGAGGGAAAGAAACTTATTGAAAATACACTGCTGTAAAAGTCGTATTTTTGATATGCATGAATATCAATGGCAGATCAGGCAAATCTTTAAAAATATTAAGCAATGTCAATGTAAAAAGGTCCTTTATAGACACCCTTGAAACACTGAAGACTGAAAAACTTGTTTTATAGATTTATTTTCAAACCGCAAAACACTTAAGACAATTTAAATACAAGTCCAACAGAATTACTCTGTCCAAGTCAGCAATGATGCCAATATGCCTTCTCGCTTGCAGACACTCGCCAGTCATCTGCGTCTTCTCTCAGGGAAGAAAGGTGGTCTGGCAAAGACAAAATCAGTTCAGTGCATCTCACTAGTGCATTGTTACTGACTTTAAGCTGCAGTCTTTGAGGTACTAAATCTAGGGTGACTAAAGTTATAGACATGAATAGAATGTTATAATTTAAAAAATCTTATCATTTGACTCTAGAAACTAACAATAGCTAATATTAAGTGAGAGGCTTCTGCATTGTATTAGGTGATTTACATACACTATTCAATTTTACCTTCACAAAAGCCTCAGGTAGGTCCTATCATTATCCCTATTTCACACATGAGGAAACTGAGGTTTACAAAGGCTAAACAGCTGCCCAGGGTCATCAGGCTTACCAAATATGGCAGATCTGGAAATGCAACTCAGGTGTGTATGACTCTAAAGTGTCCATCCTGTTACCCATGAGGCCTAGCCTGCCTATTAGGAGTCAGGTCACCTCAGCTTCCCAGACAGCGGGCTGGGTTTGCGTTGGGTAACAGAGGCCCTGTGTTTTCAAGTTACCCAACTCAGCATTTTGTTCCACACACTGCCCTATGCGGAGGGCTGACAATCAAGGGCGTCCTGTCTGGGGATGAACCCCTCTCAACCTTTCTTGAGGATAACGGTGATCCACTAGGGCCAGCCCCCTTTGAGAGGCAATCCACGGGAGGAGGCCCACCTTTTATAACTAGTGAAAATCTCTTGTCGGGTATTTCCATCTCTTCTGACTCTTGTTTTATTAAAGAACCACAGACAGATTAATTCTATGGAAGAACATCATTGTAAAAGTCAAATTATTTACCTGATATTTTATTCATATACATCCTTCTTATCTGCAATGTAATCTACAATTTCTTGTGGACACATTAATTTTTCCGCATCTGTATCAGGAATTTCAAACCCTAAAAGAAAAATTTACAGTCACGTGAGTATAGAAAAAGCAAATCCTTTAGAACTGAAAGCATATGGCACGTCTGTGAACACCCACAGGCGTATCAAAAATTTCCAGCAACCCTGGATGCCATTTAAGTTGTGAGCCATTTATGTTCTCAACAGTATGTATGCCATGCTGCATATATAGGGTTTTTTTTTGAGACATAATTCATATACCATAAAATTCACCATTTTAAAGTGTACAACTGGATTTTTTTCCCTAAATTTTATTTTGTTGTAGAGAATATACACAGCAAAACATACAAGTTTCTATATGTGCAATTTAGTGACACTGATTACATTCTTTGAGTTGTATAACCATTCTCACCCTCCTTTTCTGAGTTGTTCTTCCTCCATTAACATAAACTCACTGCCCCCTAAGGTTCCTATCTAATCTTTTGAGTTGCTGTTGTCACTTTGATCTCATATACAATTCTTAAAAATGCATGATGCTCAAGGCAGAACTTTTTTATTAAATAAGTTAAACTATTGTTTGGTTTCAAGAAGACTTCAGGGGATATTTTTTATTTAAGGTCTAAAGATAATCTCAGGGCAATAGTTTCAGGGGTTCATCCACCCTCCATGGCCCAGAAAGTCTGGATTCCATGAGAATTTGAAATTCTGTTCTCCATTTTTCCCCTTTTGATCAGGATTCTTCTGTGGAATCTTTGATCACAATGTTCAGTAATGGTAGCCGGGCACCATCCAGTTCTTCTGGTCTCCCGGCAAAGGAGGCAGTTGTTCATGGAGGCAATTAGCCACACATTCCATATCCTCCTCCTATTCCTGACTCTCCCTCTTCTGTTGCTCCAGGTAAACAGAGACCAATTGTGCTCTGGATGGCCGCTTGCAAGCTTTTAAGACCCCAGCACTACGCAACGAACTAGGAGATAGAACAGAAGCACTGAACAGGTTATTAGGCCAATTAACTGGGATGTCCCATGAAACCCATGACCCTAAACCTCTAAACCAAGGAACCAAATCCCATGAGGTGTTTGGTTGTACATAAGCAGTCGTAGCAGCTTTTTTTTTTGTCGCTGTAAATAAATCTATCACACAACTTTTGCCAATTCAGCTTTTTACAAGTGTACAACTTACAACACTTAAATAACTGGCTATGCAAACCTACCCTCAATCAATGCGATTTTTCCATCACTGCTGACCCCCCCTTCCCCCTCCCTCCCACCTCTGGTAACCACTAATAAACGTTGGTCTCTGTACATTTGCCTTTTCTTGTCTTTTTATATTTGGGGTCATACAGTATTTGTCCTTTTGTGATTGGCTTATTTCACTCAGCATAATGTCTTCAAGCTCCATCCATACTGTAGCATGTAAGAAGACTTCACTTCTACTGGCTGAGTAGTATTCCATTGTATGTATGTACCACATTTTGTTATCCATTCACCTGTTGATGGGCATTTAGGTTGTTTCCACCTTTTGGCTACTGTGAATAGTGCTGCAGTGAGCACTGGTGTACAAGTCTCTTTTTGAGTGTCTGCATCCAAGTCTTTTGGGTATATACCTAGGAATGGAACTGCTGGGTCAGCTGGTAATTTTATTTTTAGTTTTTTTGAGGAAACACCACACTGTTTTCCACAACGGCTGTACCATTCTGCATTCCCACCAGCAATGGATAAAGGTTCCAATTTCCCCACACAATCGGATGGTTTTTAGTATATTTACAAGGTTATCAACCATCCCTGCTATCTAATTCCAGAACATTTTCATCACCCCCAAAAGAAACTGGTACCCATTAGCAGTCACTCCCCATTAGTCACTTCCCCTAGCTCCTGGCAGCCACCAATCTACTTTCTGTCTCTATGGATTTACTTATTCTGGACATTTCCTGTAAATAGAATCATACAATATGTGCCCTTTTGTGTCTGTCTTTTCACTTAGCAAAATGTTTTCAAGGTTCATCCATGTTGTAGCAAGTATAATGCTTCATTCCTTTTAATGAATGGTTGGTATATATATTTTTTTAATTGTGGTGAAAATACACACAATAAAACATCTCCCAATTCAACAATTTCTACATGTATAATTCAGTGACACTGATTACATTTTTCTTGTTGTGCAACCATTCTCACTATCCTTTTCCAAATTATTCCACCATGAATGGCTGGGTTTTGACAGTTAACATTTATTAAGTGCTTGCTTTGGACCATTGTGCTGAACATTTTACACACAAGTTCTCTTTAATCCCCACAGCAATCCCAATCCTGCAGTTCTTACTACTGTTATCCCCATTTCACAGCTGAGGAAACAGGCTTTGAGAGGTACAGTTACTTGCCCAGGCTCATACATGGCTAAGCCAGGCTGTCCAATTCCAGATCTGGTACTCTTAGCCACTAGGCAACCTATACTATCCCTCTAGTCAACATAATCTGTGAGGAATTTTAACTAAGTCCTGTTCTGCAGGATGGCTCAGAAGTTCCCTGACTTCCTATTCAAACAGCTCACCCAGAAATGAGCCAAAGAGCCTTATCAAGGTCTCACCTGCACCGCAGACTGGTCTATGCACACATACGAGGCACTGCAGGAGACCAAGGCCAGGGAACTCGGTGAGTGTCCTATCCTCAGCATACCCTGTTACTTCTCAAGGCATGGACGTCTAGGTCTAGTTCATGAGGGGTGCTAAGGGGTCATCAGCTTTTCTATAGGTGAGGCTTTTGCCCTCCACCTTGGAGCCCCATCTCAAGGATCTAAGTCCCATACTCCCCCAGGCCCTTTCTGGACACAGTCCTCAGTTCCACACTGGGCACTCTGTGGGGCCTGCATTACTTGCTTTCTGAATGAATGAGGAAATGCATTGTTCCTGATATTTGCCTTCACTCGAAGGTTAACCAGGTTGGGGGTGGGGTTACGTTTCTATTAATGTATGATTCAAATTCCAGTTCAGACTCCCAGCATTCCTTTTCGATTAATCCATCTAAATCAAGATTCACTACATGCAGATCCAAGACTAAGCCTGTGTATGTTACCAAATTCGTCCTCCATGGCCATGATAATCTCCACTTGGTCCAAACTGTCTAAGCCGAGGTCTTTCATAAAATGGGAATTTACGGAAAGCTGCAAGAAAGGAACACAAACAGAAAATTTAATCTGTGACAGGATTTACTTCCTGAGTTAGCAAACAGCATGGTACAATGCAACTTGATAATTATATAGAAACCTTTTTTTAAAAAATATATAAAGAGGTCATAACTAACATTATCCATTTAACCTATACCACCGTGGTACTTGGTGTGCTTTATATGTTAACTCATTTAACCTGGCTTTGAACCAGAAGCTAGTGACAGATTTCACTTTACATGCTTTAGTAAGATCTTTGATAGTTGCTCTGAATGACATCTGAGGTAGTTTGGTTTTTCTTGCTCCCTTACTGAAAACTAAAGACTCTTCAGAAGGGCATTCCTCTCCTTGAAGAATAGCAGAATGTTGGCCAACTGTAGGCAGCTGTAGATTACAGTGTTTTCTTAATCACCCTGCCTTTAAATTTATACCTCAAGATCACCAGGAAAAATTCTTTGAAAACCCATATCAAAAACAAACTCTCCCACCCACACAGGAAATTCAATTATTAAAGGAGGAATTTTTTACTATGAGAAAAATCACTATGAGAAAAATTCCAAGAAGAGGTGTTAAGTTAAAAAAAAGCAAGGTACAGAACAGTGTTTATACTATTACTTATGTTATTTTACTGAAGCTGTCAAGGACTTCATTTTACTTGGATCCACAATTAACATCCATAGAAGCAACAGTCAAGAAACCAAACGACATATTGCATTGGGCAAATCTGCTGCAAAAGATCTGTTTAAAGTGTTAAAAAGCAAAGATGTCACCCTAAGGACTAAGGTGCGCCTGACCTAAGCCATGGTCTTTTCAATTCTCTCATATGCATGTGAAAGCTGGACAATGAATAAGGAAGAGCAAAGAAAAACTGATTCATTTGAATAATGGTGCTGGCAAGGAATACTGAATATACCATGGACTGCCAGAAGAACGAACAAGTCTGTCTTGGAAGAAGCACAGCCAAAGTGCTCCTTGGAAGTGAGAATGGCGAGACTTCGTCTCATGTACTTTGGACACATTATCAGGAGGGACCAGTCCCTGGAAAAGGACATCATGTTTGGTAGAGGGTCAGCAAAAAAGAGGAAGACCTTCAACGAGATAAACTGACACAGTGGCTGCAACAATGGGCTCAAACATAGCAACAATTGTGGATGGGGCAGGGCAGTGTTTTGTTCCATTGTATACAGGGTTGCTATGAGTCGGAACTGACTCGAAGGCATCTAACAACTTTTTTTTTTAAAGGTGGGAGATATGTATATCACATAAATACATACATATAGATACATGTGTGTATATCTGCAATAAATATCTCTGGAAAGACATACAAGAAGGTAGTAACATTGGCTGTCTCCCAGAAGGGGAACTGGGTAGCTGGGAGCCAGGGAGACTTTTCACTGAATATCCTTTTGAATCCTTTGAATTTTGCACCATGTTAGTAAATACTCATTCTTAAAAAAAAAAAAAATTAAACCACCACCAATTACCTTTTCTGGGTCAATCTTATCATAGAGTTTCAAGACATAAAGAACACGGTCCTTGATTCCCTCTAAGGTCAATGGGGGTGCGTCGCTATACTGGCAGCACAACTGTGTAACTCTACCAGGAACCTAGAGCAAGGGAAGGAAGGAAACATTGTCCTTTAACATAAAAGTACAAGCCTACAGAGAGCTTTCACAGCTTTAGAGAACTCACATCATCCAATTCTAAGTGTGGCATTAAGACACACCGAGTCACAATGCTGGGTCCCTTATCATTGCCCATGGGGAGTAGTCTCAGAAGCCCCAGTAGTTCAGCAGCACAAAAATGAGCCCCTTTTCCCCTCAGAGCCAGGACTGGTCCCCTCTGACTCCTCTGTTTAGCCCGCAGGCTTTCTGCTCCACAAGACTAACTGCTACCAAAATCGTCAAGGGTCTGCAGAAGAGCCTGTCTCCTCGTGGCATCTTCAGTATCCCCTTGCCTCTACAGAGCATGTCCACCTCTAACAGACAGACGAGTCAAAATAGCCCACGGGGAAAGAGCTGTCATGGTGACGTGAAACGCAATTCAGAGTGAGGCCCACACACGGACGGGTCTAGTCTAGCCTCAGAGGTAATCATACTGACCTTGGCCGGGGCTAATGAAGCCAGCACACCAACCCAAAGGAGAGGATGAGGGAGCCCAACAGTCATTACATGCCAGTCTCTTTCTGTTTCACCTAGGCCTGCCTTACTGCCACCAGCCAAGTCATGAGGCTCTTGTCATGACAGAGCAGTATCTCTGATGGCAGCCGGCTTGTAATACGGTCAGCGGGCTTACTAATGCTGTGGAAGGCACCATGCAGAACAAGAGAAAACAAACAGTTGCTGACAATTTTGCTTATCATGGAATTCCCTAATCCAAGCTAGGTTACCTTCTAAAGTAGATTTTAAGTCCACGATTAGGATTTAAGGCATTTCCCCATAGAAAGTGGTTTTGCTTATTGTGGTTCAGATCCAAGACTTACAAAGGTCTATGAACCAAGTGAACCAAGCTAATATATACCTCTGTATAAGAAATGTTTACCCTGCATAAAAAGCAGGCATTGAAATTAGGTTTAATTAGCAAGGTAAAGAGATTAGACAAAGAGTGTTATGAATATTCTAAAAGTATTTCCGGGTACTTAGAAGAGCTCTTGAGGCTGCTAGCACCTGTTCTTTTGTCTAAATTTATGGCCCTCCTTTCCGACTACAGCAAGGATCACGGAGACCTTTGATATGCGCGTTATCACAACGCCTGCTCATCAACAATGACTAGAAGAGGTTTCCGAGGCACAAATGAAATGAAGCAGCAGAAAGGAGTGAAGAAAAGAGGGAGAAGAAATGAGTTACTAGTGATAACGACAGAACAGAAACTTGAGGTGGAAGGATCTAACAGAGGACATGTCTGTGTGCATGCCAAGCACAGTGTGAGGTGGAGTTAACGCGGAGGAGAGGGAGAGGAAAGGGGGAGGTCCACAGGTGCGCAGCGCCCAGGGCACTAATGAGGCTATGTTTGAGCACAGCAAGCCAAGTGGTCCACTAGGTGTCAGCATCGTCCCCAGCAGCACTAGCAAGTGCTTACAGGATCTGGTGAGTAGCATGCGATTAAATTAAAGGGGTCTCCACCTGGAGACCACATGCCAGTGTAAAGCAGGCACCAAAAAGGGAGTCCACATGAAAGGCAGTAAGCTGTAGCGAGCAAGAGCTCAGATTCTAGAAGTAGACTGTATCTAGTGGTTTGTATCCTGGCACTAGCTCTTCGCTGGGTAAATTATTTAACCTTTCTATGCTTCAGTTTCCTTTACCTGTAAAATGGGGATAATAACAGTCCCAACCTCATAGGGTGTTATGAGGCATCAATGAGGGAATAAATGTAAAGGCCTCGAACACTGCCTGACACATACATAGGAAATGCAATTCAGGGTTATCTAGCAGCTGCTATGTGGGAGAAAGCTGTTGGCAGTCTGCTTCTGTAAAGACTTACAGCCTTGGAAACCCTATGGGGGGCGCAGTTCTACTGTGTCCTATAGAGCTATTAGTCGGAATTAACTTGACAGCAGTGGGTTTGGTTTTGGTTGTTAGAGTCAAAAAGATGATGCAGGACCGGCTAACTTTTCCTTCTGTTATATATAAGGTCGCCATGAGTCAGAGCCTTCTCCAAGACAACCACCACCACCACCAAGATCATGAAGATAACGATCTGCCAGTTTGAGACCTTGGCTGTAGTACCTGATCCTGTTCCTTCCCTCGCATGACTTCCCTTTCCTCGTTAATGCCTCCCCTTCTGGTCTATATTAATTGTCACATTCTGGTCTATTTATTGATTTCTTACCATAAGCCAGGCTGTTGTACTGTCCCAAGCACTTTAAGTCAGGGCTTCGAAACTGGTTCAACCCCTTGCTGAGCATTTGACTTTCCAGCCCCAGATATACTGAATCAGAATCTACATTTTAACAAGATCCTCAGATACATAAGAATCACTTGGGGGACCTTATTAAAATGCAGATTCTGATTCAGTATACCTGGGGTTAGAGATGCAAATTCTCAGCAGGGGGTCAAACTGTACCTGTTTGAATCCTGCTTTAAGTACATTATCTCCTTTAGGTCTAACACTAACCCCTAGAGATACACTGTACTATCAGCCCCACGTTACAGATGAGGAAACTGAGGCAGAGAAAGGTCAGGTATCCTGTTCCAGGTCCCCCAACACAGTTACTTGGAGGGTCTTATTGCCTCCTTCTTGCTGGGCATAGAGAAAACTCTCTCTGCCCTACTGAGACTTTGGGCCTCACACAGGTTTCATCAGCCCTTTGTTTAAAAAGTACATCACCTCCCATGGGTATCAGAGAATGCAATGTTTGCAGGCAAAGAGTGACTACCAATTAGTTTCCAGCAGAATCCATCCTCCCTGCACTCGGGGTCCATTGTCTGGCTGAGGGCATCTCAGAGGAATCCAAGGAGATGGCTTTCAAGGCATCTCTACGAGCCATCCACCGGGCAGCTCCACACACATGGCAGACATCTCAAACTCAGCTGTTTGGAAATGAACTCCTCACCTGCCTCCAAAACTCCTGCTTGCAGATCTCTATTCCCTCTCCTCCTCCCTAGGTTCTTACCAGAAACCTCCCGGCCAACCCCTACTCTTCCCATTTTCTCCCATCAGTTTACCTGATCACTCAGCTGGGCTGACTGGGAGGAAGAGTCTCATTTACTCCTTCAAGAAACATGTGCTTAATGTTCACTCTGTGGTCTACACAGAGGAGAACAACCATATCCCTTAGCGGGGCATACTGCACCCTTCACAATATGCCTGTCTTCCCACTTCCACTCCGCGCTCTCCCCTCCACAGACACCCCAAGGAAGCAAGTGTCAGGCTCTTCCTGGCCTCTGTCCGTGCCATTACATCCCCCTGACTGCTTGAGAAACTACCATCTTTGAGACATGCTCCCTGGGGGGTCAGTCCCATCCCTCTTGTTGCTTCTGCACCATACGCACACTTGTTCTCACACGTTTCAGTGTCTTATCTGAAGTTACTGACATGACCGTCTCAGCAACCTGCAAGCTTTACCTGTATGTCAAGCATTTCCTATATACCAAGCACTGTGCTATGGGCTGCAAATACAAAGATAAGACATGGCCTACACCTAAGTTTACAGTTTAATGGAAAACATCAATCCAAACAGATCATTTTAATTTTAATAAAATGTAACAAGAACCATGACAGAGGTATTTTTAGGCTGCTTCAGTAACAAAAGTTGTCATTCAGTTCTTGAGAGGCAGGGAAGGAGGAGATACTAGACTTGGAGTTAGCCAGGCCAAAAAAAAACCCCAAAAACAAAAACAAAAATAAACCCATTGCCTTCGAGTCGATTCTGATTCACAGTGACCCTATAGGACAGAGAAGAACTGCCCCATAGGGTTCTCAAGGAGTGGCTGGTGGATTCAAATCGCTGACCTTTTGGTCAGCAGCCAAGCTCTTAACCACTGTGCCACCAGGGCTTCAGGCAAAGAATAGGGACAGGCTATTCAAGGAGAGGGAAGGGCAGGCCAACAAAAGAAAATGAGGTATGAAAGTGGGTGTCTGTGTGAGAAGACATGAGGAGTTCCTGTTGCTGCACATTAAAGGACAAGGTGGTACACTTATGACAGGCACCGAGGCTGAAGAGAGCCAGGGCCCAGGTCTGCAGGGCCTTGTGGGCCAAGGTCAGGGGCCAGGACTTTGTTTTACTGGGGAATGAATGACACGGACAGACCTCAGCTCTGAGTCCATCACTGTCAGACATGTCAGGCTGGCTCCAGTACCAGGAATAGCCAAGCTTTTCCTGCACAAGTGGTCTGTCTTCATCTGGATACCGTGTCCTGCAAAACTGTTTGGAACTTCTCTTTGTGCTCTGGCTGCTGGCAGTTTCAGATTCCGGGCTCACCTGGACCAAGTATAAGACTTCCTGGCTCCATTTTAGGCCACTACCCTTGTTTTTCTTATTTACAGGGTCACTATGAGTCGGATTCAATTCGACTCGATGGCTACGGCTACAGGCAGTTGCATAGATGGATTTGAGAAGGGGAGTGCGTAAAACAAGCAATAGTCCAGATGAAGACTAATAATGGTTGTAGGTGGAGATTTGGGGTGACTGGAATACAGGAAATAACTAAGAGAGTGGAAGAGGCAGTTTGGGGACACTGTGTGGTAAGAGAACTCGGGAGCACACTGATATTTACGTGTTAGGTAGAGAAAGAGCCCAAGGAAACAGGGTAGGAGCAGAGAAGCAGGGGAAGAACCAAGGGAGAATAGTGTCACCACAGGCTACAGAAGACACAGCACCCAGAAGCCAGAATCGGAATGGGGGGTTGTGGGGTGGAGATGGGAGTTGAAAGCTACCCAGGTGATCTGAATTTGCAGCTGGGATTGACAATCACTGCCCTACTGAGAGTTTTGGCCTCACACACGTTTCATCAGATAGGAAAGCTAGATACTGCTTGTTTTCTACACTTACTTCCAGGAGTCCTGGAACCGAGCAAGAGATGCCACAGGGGAAATTTAAGACAGAAATCCAGGGAGAGAACTACTCTGGAGAAGGCTGTAGGCCAGTGTGCACCCGTTATTAGCCATCCCCTAGAAAGCTATCATCGAAAGCTACTATTTATCACTACATGTAACAGCGATCAGTATTTTGAGAGCTTACCAAGCACCGCAGCAGGTGCTTGATCTCACCTAACCCTCACTGCACTTCCGTAAGATAGAGACTAGTATCTCGATTCCATGGGTTAGACCGAGGCGTTTAGCGATGAGACGACTTGTGTGCAAAGTTTCCGTAAATGGCAGCCACCATTCGAGGGTCTGACTAGAGAGTCTGTGCTCTTGCTCGTCACCGGGCCTTGGGGGCCAGGGTCAGGGGCCTCAGATCACCCAATCTCCCGGCACAGGTCAATCAAGTCCCGTTACTGCAGCGGGGTCGGGAAGCGAGCCAGATGCCCTCGGGGTCACCCCGCTTGCGATTGGCAAGGTCCCGCTGCACGGCCTAGGACTCCTAAGCCTTCCCGTGCAGACCTCCCTAGCCCCAACTCGCCGTGCCAAGGCCCGACTACCTCCCGTCTCAGCCTGGCCCCCGCCACCGTCCCGAGCGTGCCCGATCCCTGATCCCTGCCGGGGCCCCAACAAAGTCACCGCAAGTCACCTGCACGAGCATCGAGATTGGCTGCGGAGCCCCAGGTCTCGTCCGGATCCCCGCGGGGCACAGGGCGGTGCTGAGTGACCGAACTGCGGCGAATGTGGTGGGCCGGGGAAGCGGCGCGAAGGCCGCGGGCAGGCGGCCGACACAGACGGAAAGGACACGAGCCGCCATGGCTACGCCAACCCAGGATGCACTGCGCCGTAGCCTCGGGGCCAGGTTTCCACGCCCACCCCGCGCAGACTACGCACAGAGTGGCGCTGTCAGGAGCGTTCGGCGCTGGCGGCCCCTGGCGGCCCCTGGGCGCACTACGGCCTCCGGGCTGCGCTATAGGTCATCCCGACTCGGAGGCGAATGGTTACTTAGTGCTGGAACTACGGCTCCCAGAAACTCTTTCCCTAAACACTGATAAAAAACACAAGAAAGGAACTTATTGTTTATTCGTTCCCTGAAAGTTCTGAAATACATTTATTTAAAAGTTTTGATGCCGATTCTTACGTAGGTATTAAAATTTATTTAATAGGTTAAAAACTCAGTGCAAAATACAAAAACAAAAGGTACAAAATAAGAATGCGAAAATAAAAATAAGGAATGTGAAAAACAAGAATCAATTTAAATATATATCTAATACCTGTGGGAATGAGGATAAAAACAATGTGCATGTTTTAAAACTTGACTAAACTTGCATAATAAAGCGAACAAAAATGTAGACGTGGTGGGGAGGTTAAATCTGCCATATTAGCCACCAGGCTTTTCCTGCATCCTGACTTTGTTACCACCAATTCACTGTTGATTAGCAATCGGAAGAGAAATTGTACCATTTCTTTGGAATGATCAACGTGTATTTTGAAAGGCAGACTTCCATTTCTGCAGAAAACGGCACCAAAACTCTGGTTGGAATTACTGGGATCAGGACCTGTAAGATCTGCTTAGATCACCAGTGATGCACCAACCTCTGATTTCTCCTTCTTGCTCACACTGTGGAGATGGGGACAGCCCCATAACGGCGACTGCAACACCATCAGAAGAGGGAGCGCTCGGAAGACCTGACAACATACTGAGCCCACACTGGGAACCATCTCTTCCCATGACCTTTTTAGTATTTCTGAGTTACATTTAATCCTTTTGGCCAAAAATAATAAATCACCTATGTCTTGGTCATCTAGTACTGCTCTAACAGAAATACCACAAGTGGATGGCTTTAATAAAGAGAAATATATTTTCTCACAGTCGAATAGGCTACAAGTCCAGATTCAGAGCATCAGCTCCAGGAGAAGATTTTCTCTCTCTGTCGGCTCTGGAGGAAGGTCGTTGTGATGCATCAGTCTTCCCTTGGTCTGGGAGCATCTCAGCGCAGGAACCTCAGGTCCAAAGGACACGCTCTGCTCCCGGCACTGCTTTCTTGGTGGTATGAGATTCCCATGTGTCTCTGCTTGCTTCTCTTTTATATCTCAAGAGATTGGCTTAAAACACTATCTAATCTTGTAGACCTCATCAGTATAACTGCCACTAATCCATCTTATTACATCATAGTGACAGAGTTTGCAACACATAAGGAAATCATACCAGATTACAAAATGGTACACAATCATACAATCCTGGGAATCATGACCCAGCCAAGTTGACAGATATTTTTGGGAGACACAATCCAATCCATGACCTCTTATTTAAATGATGTATTGGTTGAGACAGCTACTTTTACCTTCAGCAAACACATAAGCAGAAAATATCAGCCTTCATGGTCTGTTGGGTAAAAGGTCCAATATTGAGATCAAGTCCTTAGCAGTTGGCGAAGATTCAAGAAAGGACACTGGTGCTTTTCATTTTTGCCTCTGTGCACCATAAAAGGATGCATAGTGAACCTGTGAGAGCTGGAACTAAACAGGACTGTGCTTTCACATCTTGCAAGTTTTCTGCCTTTGACAGGGTGCAGTCTTACCACTTTTCTATCACTTGTTTTAGTGGGAAATATTTGCGTTTTCCTTCTCTGACAGGTTTCCACCTTACACAGCTTCCGGCTTTCACAGGTTTTATTGTATAAACGATGTCAGTTTCTCGTACACATCATCCTACCAACCCATCAGTTATCCTCCCTCCTTCCAGCCCACTTGCACCTTTATATCACCCCCTCCTGTTTCCCCTGGGGCCTTGGGCCACCTGGTATCTCTACTCTCCCACGTCTTCAACCTCTGTTTTTCTTATGGCTCTTTTCTCTGAGCCTATAAACATGCCAAACTTCTCGCAGGCTGAAAACAAAGCCAGAGGCTCCCTCCATTGACCCTTCATATGAGGCCCTCAGGGTCATCTCCCTGCCTCCACTGTTGGCCTCCATAAATCCATTCTTCACACTGCAGCCAGCGTGGGACCTCATCATTTCACTACTCAAACCCTTCCAGGGTTCTTTCACCTTCAGAATGTTCCACCTCCGGATTTGTTAACATGTGTCACAAGCCCCCAGGCTACCTCTCTAGCTTCTGACTACTCTGCACAGCATAATTAGTTTGGCACATTATTGAAATGTCACCGATTCTTTACTCTTTGTGTCCAGTCTACTGATGAGTCCATCAAAGGAATTCTTTATTACTGTTAGTGTTTTTGGTTTCTAGCATTTACTTTTCTTTCTTACCCGAGTTTCCATCTCTCTGCTTACATTACCCATCCGTTCTTGCAAGCTGTCCACTTTTTCTTGTTAGAGCCCTTAGCATATTGTTTATAATTATTTTAAAATTCACAGTCTGATCATTCCAAAATCTCTGCCATATCTGAGTCTGGTTCTAATGCTTGCCTTGTATTTCAGACTGTGTTTTTTAACTTTTAGTATGCCTTGTAATTTAAAAGTAAATGGATAGAGAAAGATATACCATGCTAACACTCATCAAAAGACAACCTGGAGTAGCTATACTAATTTCAGAAAAAGCATGTCAGAGCAAGGAAAATTATGAGGTAAAGGGGCATTATATAATGTTAAGGAGTCAATTCTCCATGAAGACGTAATAATAATTAATGTGTATGTGCTTAACAACAAAGTGTCAAAATATGTGAGGCAAAAAAACTGATAGAACTGCAAGAATAGGCAAATTCACTCATAACTGACAGATCCAGCAGGCAGAAAATTAGTAAGGATACAGATGAACTGAGCAGCACCATCAATCAATTGGGTCTAATAGACATTTATAGAACAACTCATCCAACAACAGCAGAATACATATTCTTCTCAAGCTCACATGGAATATTCACCAAGACAGACCAAATCCTGGGCTATAAAATACACCTTAACAAATCCAAAAGAATAGAAAGCATACAAAGAATGCTCTCAGATCATAATGGAATTAAACTAGAAATCACAGCTGGAAAATCCCAAAACATTTGGAGATTAAACAACACGCTTCAAAATAACACATGGGTCAAAGTAGTCATCTAGCTACTTCTTAAAACATATTTTGAACTAAATGAAAATGAAAATACAACTCATCAAAATTTGTAGGATGAAGCAAAAGCGGTGCTTAAAGGGAAATTTATAGCATTGAATGCATATAATAGAAGATCTAAAATCAATAATCCAAGCTTCCACCTTAGGAAACTAGAAAAAGAAGAGCTAATTAGATAAAAAGCATAAGAAAAGAAATAATAATATTTAGAGCAGAAATCAATGTAATTGAAAATAGAAAATTAAGAAGGAAAATCAACAAAACCAAAACCTGGTTCTTTAAAAAGATCAATAAAATTGATAAACCTCTAGTCAGGCTAACCAAGAAAAAAAAAAAAGAGAGAGAAAGAACACACAAATCACTAATATTGGAAAGAAAGAAGATTAGTACTGAATCCATGGACACTGAAAGGGTAATAAAGGAATATTATGAACAAAGTCTATGCCCACAAATTTAATAACTTAGATGAAATGGGCAAATTCCTTGAAAGATACTATCTACCAAAACTCACACAAGGAGAAATGGATAATCTGAAGATGCCTGTATCTATTAAAGAAATTGAATCAACAATTAACAATCTTCCAAAACAGAAAGCACCAGACCCAGATAATTTCACTGGTGAATTCCACCAAACATTTAAAGAAGACATGATACCAATTCTTTACAATCCCTTCCAGACAACAGAAGCAGAAGGAACACTTCCTAATTCATTTTATAAAGCTAGCATTACCCTAATTACCAAAACCAAAGACATGACAAAAAGTAAAATTACAGACCAATATTTCTCATGAACATAGATGCAAAAATCCTCAAAAAATATTAGCAAATTTAATTCAACAATGTATAAAAAGAATTATATATCACAACTAAGTGCTTCCCTATATACCAGCAATGAACAACTGGAATTTGAAATGAAAAATACACTATTTACACTAGCACCGAAAAATAAAAAGGAAAGAAATACTTAGGTATAAATATAATAAAGTATACACAAAATCCATATAAGGAAGTCTGGTGAAAGAAATCAAACAAGATCTAAATAGATGGAGAGATATTTTATGTTTCATGGAAAGGAAGACTCAATTATATCAATTCTTCTCAACTTGATCCATAGATTCAACACAATCCCAGTCAAAATCCCCACGTTATTTTGGGAATACTGACAAACTAATTCTAAATTTTATATGGGCAGGCAAAGACCCAGAATAGTCAACACAATACTGGAGAAAAACAAGGCAGAGGCTACTGCCCGATGTCAAGACTTATTATACAGCTACAGTGATCAAGACGGTGTGGTACTGGCAAAAGAATAGAAAAATAGATCAATAGAACAGAATAGAGAGATCAGAAATAGACCCACACAAACAGAGTCAACTAATCTTTGACAAAGGAGGAAAGGCAATTCACTGGAGAAAGGACAGTCTTTTCAACAAATGGTGCTGGTACAATTGGACATCTATATGCAAAAAACTGAATCTAGATACAGACCTTATGCCTCTCACAAAAAATTAACTCAAAATAGATCACAAACCTAAAACTTTACACCAAACTGTAAAACTTCTAGAAGGTAACACAGGAGAAAAATCTAGGTGATCTTGGGTTTGGTGATGACTTTTTAGATAAAACACTAAGAGCACGATCCAAGAAAGACAAAATTGATAGACTGGGCTTCATTAAAATTAAAATTTCTGCTATGTAACAGTGTTAAAAGAATGAAAAGACAAGTCACTCATAGACTGGGAGAAAATATTTGCAAAACATATACCTGACAAAGGACTTGTATCTAAAATATACAAAGAACTCTTAAAACTTAACAGTAAGAAACAAAACAACCTAATTAAAAAACAGGAAAAAGATCTAAGGAAACATCTGACCAAAGAAGTTAAACAGATGGCAAATAAGCATAGGAAGATACTTAACATCTCATGTCATTAGGAAACTGCAAATTAAAACAACTATGAAGTACCACTGCACACCTATTAGAACGGCTAACATCCAAAAGACTGAACAACAAATGTTGGTGCCAATAACAGGAACTCTCGTTCATTGCTGGTAGGAATGCAAAATGGTATAGCCACTTTGGAAGACTGCGTGGTTTGAAGTCAGAAAAGGGGTGCATCAGGGTTGTATCCTTTCACCATACCTATTCAATCTGTATGCTGAACAAATACTCTGAGAACCTGGACTATATGAAGAAGAACAGGGCATCAGGATTGGAGGAAGACTCATTAACAACGTGCATTATGCAGACAACACAACCTTGCTTGCTGAAAGTGAAGACGACTTGAAGCACTTCCTGACGAAGATCAAAGATCACAGCCTTCAGTATAGATCACACCACAACATAAAGAAAACAAAAATTCTAACAAAATCATAACAACTGGACCAATAAGCAAAATCATGATAAACGGAGAAAAAATTGAAGTTGTCAAGGATTTTATTTTACTCAGATCCACAATCAACACCCATTGAAGCAGCAGTCAAGAAATCAAAAGATGCATTGCATTAGGCAAATCTGCTGCAAAAGACCTCTTTAAAGTGTTGAAAAGCAAAGATGTCACCTTGAAGAC